TCATAAAAGGCTAATGTACCCAACTATATGAAGTAGTCTAAAGTGACTGAATAAATTTTATCACTGAAGTCAGTAATTTTACCTTACTCTCTTTAATTTTTGAAACCATGTGAAACATCTGAAGAGGCAGTTAATATAGTTCATCCTCTCCGTAATTAATGTCAGCATTTCTGACGGTTTAGGATGTCTTCGTGGGCATCATCACTGCAGATTGGGGAAGTCTGGTTTTCTTCCTGAGGCTTCGTTTATAATGGGACTTCCTCAGTTTGCGTTAATGAACTTTGTGATACTAAACTTTGACTAATGGTTCTTTCTTTTTTTAAAAAAAAATTTATTTAATGAATGCATTTTTTCATAGATACAACTTAAGGAATACAGTGGTTCTTTCTCCCATACCCACCCTCTGCCCCCAACTCTCATCCCTCCCCCCTCTCTCTCCCCCATCTCCTTCTTCATTATGGTTCATTTTTAGTTTGAATTTATATACAGAGGACCAACTCCATGCTAAGCATAGACTTCAATAGTTTGCACCCACACACACACAACATACAGAGTACAGTTTGAGAAAAAAATTTGCAGTCAATTCTCATAGTACAACTCATTAGGACGGAAGTTCTATATGGGGAGTAAGACTAATGGTCCTTTCCAAAAAAAAAGAACAAAACCAGACTCCAGAAGTTTTGAATGCTGGTCAAGCTAGTAGTGTGCTGTTTTGATACAACATAGAAACAGACACAATTCTGACAATCCCCAGAGCCTGGTACAGAGCTCACCAAAAAACAGTGCAGGTTATCGTTAGTCTAGAATAAATTACGTGACACTGAAGCTCAAACAGCCATCTTTTGCTCCACACCGTGGCGGCACTGGGCCTGTGTGCCTGCACCGTTTGTCCTGGTTCTGCTCCTGACTACAGAACTCTGGAAAGGTTAGCTGGCTTCTCTGGGCCTCACTTTCCTCATTTGTACAAAGGAGGTGCATAGGTGCATAGCGTCACAAAGGAGGTGCATAGCGTCTACTCCCAGGGCCACGGTGAGTCCCGTGAATCGGTGTACAGCACTCAGAACAATACCTGCTTACGCATGGTAGCCAGAAAACCCAGTAAGCTTTAGCAAATTATCATCCAGGAATGATAGCAGTTTGTGCACTTTTTGTTCTCATTTGAAGTAATTGCAGACTTAGAGGAAAACAACAAGAATAGTCCACTGTGTACTCTTCACCCAGGTTCCCCAAATGTTAGCATTTTGCCATGTTTGCCTTATCCTTGACTGTTTGTACAGGCATATGTTATTTTGTTTTCTGAGTCATTTGAGAGTAAGCCACAAACATTGCTTTTTTTTTTTTTTTAATCTTTCAGTGCTTCAGGGTCTGTTCCTTAAAAACAAGAACACATCTTTACATAGCCACAGTACAGTTGTCAAAATCAGGAAAATACCAGTGATCCAACACAGTTACCTCATCTGCAGACTTGATTCGGATCTTACTAGTGGTGACCGTAATGGCCACTGTAGCGAAAAAGTCCCCAACCATGACCACGCCTTTCATTCTGCCATCAGATCCGCTGAGCCTCCTTAATCTCAAACACTCCCTCCGGGACTTGGTGTTGCCGTTGTTGTCTGTAAAACTCTGGCATCTTGAACACATGAGGGCGAGCTATTGTGTAGCGTGTCCATCAGCTTGCTTAGATGTAGATAGCAGTACCATGGATGTGATGTGACGTTCTTTTCATTGGAATCCATTAGGAAGCACATGACATCTGCTTGTGCCATTCCTGGGGCTGTTTACCTTGGTCACATGGCTAAGAGTGTGGCCACCAGGTTTTGCTGCTCTGAAGTTAACCACTTCTTCCTTTGTAATTAATCTAAGTATAACGAGATACTGTGAGACTGTGCATATACTGTATTATTTCAAAACCTTTACCCACTAATTTTGCTATTTATTTAAAGTTGTTTTTTTTTTTTTATTTGAAAGCAGAGTGACGGAGAGGGGGAGAGGGAGAGAGGGAGAGAGAGAGAGAGAGAAAGAAAGAAGTATCTTCCATCTGCTGGTTCACTCCCCAAATGCCTGCAATAGCTGTGGCTGGGCCAGGCGGAAGCCAAGGGCCTGAAACTTGATCTGGGTCTTCTCCCACATAAGTGGCAGGAACCCAGCTACCTAGGCCATCGTCTGCTGCCTCCCGGGTGCTCATTAGCAGGAAGCTGGATCAGAAGTGGGTGGGACTAGAATCAGGCACTCTGATATCAGATGAAGATGTCCCAAATGGCATCTTAATCTCTGTGCCAAACACCCACCCCTAATTCTTAAACTGGTTATCAAGTGGTGATTTTTAGTTGCATCATTTTTTCCAGTTTTTAACTGACTTCTTATGAGAAGGAAGTGCTTCCCCTTCTCCCATTTGTATTTACTTGTACAACATAGACTTGATTCTTACTTCCTCAGTGGGGGTAACCCACTGCTGTGATCACTTTGATGCTCAGATGAGCCGTTTGGCAGTGAGAGCCCCTGTGGCTGGCTCCTTGTCCTTCATCCTGTGTCCCTCATTCTTGGAGCACTTCCTTACCTTCTAGTGCTGCATGTTTCAGGCTCATTTTGAACTCAAGCAACGCCGACCCTGTAGTCAGCCATTTCTCCAAGGGTGCTGATTTGTGTTTTAAGTAGAGAGAGGAATGTTATAGTTTATGCTGACACGAAACTTAGACATTCCTTTTAGGATGCTAAAAATACTTTAATCCATTCTCTCATTCAGTTTCTTTAACTCCTACTCATATTTCAAAATCAATGTCAGAATAACTGATACAGATAATTAAATGTTATAGATTATCAGCGATGTGTTAGAAACCTGGTTATTGAAGGGGAATTTGAGAAGAGAGCAGCATTTGAAGAAGCAGAGAGGAGCTGGAGGACACCTAGTTCACGGGGACAGCGTGAGCACAGGCCCGGCATGGGAGCAGGAATAAGCTTGCCCTCGGGGGACTGGGAGGCACCAGCCAAACCAGCCAATTGAAGATAAAAGTGGCGGGAATTGTGGCTGGATGGGGCCCAGTGTGTCGGGAGCCTGCGTTCCAAGCTGACCCACTTAGAACTTACCCTTCAGACAATGAAGCATCCTCAGGTTTGGGGCTGAGTGGTCTTCAAGAGTGTGTTTCGGGGAATTCAGTGTGATGTTACAGTGCAGAAGACACTGGAAAACAGAGAACACGACAGGAAGCCGTTCCCATAACTGGGGGGCCGTTGTTGTGGCACTGCACCCGCATCTGACCCAGCTCCCTGCCAGCACACCTGGGAAAGCAGGGAGGATGGACCAAATACCTGGGGCCCTGCCACCCATTGGGAGACCAGGGCGGAGTTCCTCCCTCCTGGCTTTGGTCTGGCCCAGCCCTGGCTGTTGTGGCCATTTGGGAAGTGAACCAGCAAAGAGAAAATCAATCTCTCTCTCCCTCACTTCCTCCCTCCCCCCATCCCTCCCTATTCCCCTTCTCTGTTACTCTGCCTAGCAAATAAATAAATCTTTTTAAAAAGCATAATTGGGTCTAAGGTAGTAAAAATACAGACCGAAATATGAAAATAGTTTGGAAAGAAGAAATACCCTCAGGGTGTTGAATCAGGATCACTCGAGAATGAGGAATTCTGAAAGAAGTAGGAAACTGCTGATTTTTATAAGGGAAAAAATAGAAACCAAATGTGAATAGAAACTCAAAGGAAAGACAAGTTTGATATAGAATTCTTAGAATAACTCTGGGGTGGGTTCTGTGGTGCAGTAGGTTAATCTACCTACAGTGCCAGCATCCCGTATGGGCACCAGTTCTAGTCCCGGCCGCTCCTCTTTCAATCCAGCTCTCTGCTATGGCCTGGGAAAGCAGTAGAAGATGGCCCAAGTGCTTAGGACCCTGCACCCGCATGGGAGACCAGGAAGAAGCTTCTGGCTCCTGGCTTCAGATCGGCACAGCTTCCGGCCATTGCAGCCATTTGGGGAGTGAACCAATGGAGGGAAGACCTTTCTCTCTGTCTCTCCCTCTAACTGTCTATAACTCTACCTCTCAAATAAATAAAATCTTAAAAAAAAAATTACTCCATAATTTTTATATAGAACAGTATAGTTGGAAACTATGATTTGGGACCATATGGTGTCATAATTATTAGAAATACTAGTTTGCTGAATTTACAAAGACTGTTAGAAAAAGGCATTCTCAGTAATAGCTTTAACTTTGCTAAATGGTTTTAGCTTTCTACAAGATAGGACATTATTTTGGTGTGGGACATTCCAGTGTGTTCAAACCCATCACCTGTCTCAAATCAAACCTCAGAACTGAGATCCGGACTCCCAATGGATTTGAAGTCCATGGCTCTTGTTGGCATTTAGGAGTGAGAAATTTGTTTCCAAGTACAGCATTTGATTCTTTTAGTGTTAATGAGATTCACATCATCATCCCCTACTTTAAAAAAAAATCATTTTTAGACTTCAACTTTGTCCAAAGACAAAAACGTTAAAAACTGGCCACTTGGCTGTCCGCAGATCTCAACATGGCCGAGCTGTGGCAGTCTCTGACATGTTGAGAGCTACCAGCTGCAGCCATTCCCCCAGGAAGTGAGTGGGTGCTCGCTCCTGATAGAGACGCTGCAGTCCCATCCATCTTTGCAAGTAACCATACTCCACTCGCGGCCAGACGGTCAATCTTCCCGGGACCAGCAGGAGCACGGCCCAGTCTGCTGTCCCCACTACTGTCGGTGCAGGTTCTCTCAGCCGACTCAGGGGTCGCATGCGAGGGCTGAGGCTCACTCCCTCCACAGGCTTGTTCGTTTGTTTGCTGATAGTTTCACATACGGCCTTCCTAATTAAAATCCGCTGGAAGAAATAATTACACGAAATAGCGTCTTAACCATAAAATGTGTCGAGGAGAGTGCCGGGCGACTGTCATAATTTCTGCTGGTACAGTTTAGAAAAAGGAAAATAAAGTCGGTTCTTTTTGCTGGGAAAGAAGATTTCATGTTATCTGTGTTTGCAGGCTCTCTGGCTCACGCGCTGGAGGAATCCTTGCCGCGGGGGTGTTCTCATTTTCTCGCCTAACATGGCAGTGGTCCATCGCAGCCGAGGTTTTCAGCTTAAACAATCTGTTTGTGGGGCTGCTGATGGCTCTCACTGTACACTTTGAGGAGGCAGCAACTGCAGAGGAGAGATCAAAGGTAACCTATTTTGATCAAAGTGAAATCATTTTTTTTGTTTTAATTTTTAGACAGATGCTGAATTTCTTTTCAACTTTGAGCTTAGAGAGCGTTTATCTGTTCTGACGACTGTCAGGGCAGTCTGGGCCTGTTGACAGAGAAAAGGTTCTCAGTCCCTCCCCTGTGGGAGTGGGACCACAGGAGCTGTAGGGAGCAGAGCCCCTTCGCCTCCGAGGTCAGTTTCTGGAGAGTGAGGGCTGTGGGAGAGTCCCCGTGAGTTCTATGGGAAAAGAACGTTCACTCCCAGCTGTGTGTGCCAAGCTGTAGACCTGACTGCCTTAAACATTATGCTTTGTGATTTATTGACCTCCTAATTGCAAAAGAGAAAAATTATAATTTTTTTAACTAAAAGAAGAGTGTCGAATGTAAAAGTAGTTCAGAAGACATTGCAGTGAATTCCAAGACAACCATCATCAAAACCATTTGAAGTACGAAATGATCTTGTCCTCTCTGAGCTTTTGGTCTCCGCACTAGACAATGCCAGATCCACTTAGGCAGCCTTGTGTTGTCAAAGAATAGAGAAACAAGAGAGCATCAGGGTGTATCTGTGGTTTCCGTAAACAGATCTGTGATGCTATTAGAGGGTTTTTTGTTGTTGTTGTCATTTAAAATAACCTTGTTTTTCTGATGAGGTTCAACAAAAAATTACTCAGTACATTTGTTGAAAAGTAGTGAGACATGACTTTATCCAGGTTCAGATGCAGGACCACTGCCACGGGGTTGTTAGGAGAGGAGGGAGGTCAGGCTCAATCCCAGGTGCCACAAGGAGAGGCAGGAATGTATGGCCAAGGAGCAGGTGGAGCTGGTGGATGGGAAGTTCCCTGGGAGGACTCTGGCTTTGCTGACTTAACAGGGTCCTGGCTGAAGGGGGCCCCCACCCCTGTCAGATGCCCACCCCAGTCAGATGCGCCCTGAGGGAAGGTGGAAGGTGAAGCACCTAATCAGGTATCAAGGGAATCAGAGGAGGGGGAGCTGGGGCTTTTGGCTAAACTGACCTAGCAGGATTCCTACCAAGCTGGGACAGCAGAGGTGAAGGCGGAAGCCCCAGCGTCAGTGCCTTGTTGAGAAGAGAGTGCGGAGGAGCCTGAAGAGAGCCTGGTCTAGGGGAGAATCTGTCGATTTTGTAGCTACCGTTTGATGAAAGGAAGCAAAAACACCCCCAGAGATAGCCAGGTTTCCAAATGAAAGGTGTTACAGCTCACATATTTAATAGGAGAAAAGGTAAAGCAGAATTGTTCCAGGTACAGGTTTTCCTTGAAGAAAAATGACAGCAATACCCTGTTACTGTAAGTCCTACCCAGGCCTTCCAAAAGTGGGTGTGAAGACAGTCTTGTAAGTTGTTCAACAAGGATGAAAAATACTAACAGGAAACAATAGTGATGAATATTAGTGTCTGTCAGAATGCAACTGCTGGCGTCTCAGAGGCTGATTTGAATCTGACATGTGATACAGATATTTGCTGTAACAGAGTGACTTACTTAGCATTTTAGGTAAATTTTTAACTTATGGAATTTTTTTCTTTATTTTTAGATTGCTAAAATTGGTGCTTTCTGCTGTGGCCTTAGCTTGTGTAATCAGCACACGATAGTCCTCTATGTTTTATGCATAATACCTTGGATTCTCTTTCGGCTTTTAAAAAAGAAGGTAGGTCCTTAAATTTTGTAAAATCAATTCATATCTAGGTCCATGAAGTTTGGGGCATAATTTTTGGGGTGTTACATGGAGCATAAATAACCTCAGGCCCTAACACTATTGACTAAAAAGGGGGGGGGGCTTAGAAAATTATGCAGTATTGATTGCAGCAGCATCTGGCCTGTTTTCTTGCTGATTTCTGATCAGCATCTCAATGAAAATAGGCTAAGAAGACTTAACAGCAATATTCAGTTCCTTCCCTTGTTTGACAAACATCCTCAGGCACACGGCACTCATTTTGCTATGTGTCGAGTGCCTGCTCTGCACCCCAGGATTGCCATGGGCTCTGGAGGTCCAGGCTCAACAAACCTGACACCACCACTACAGTGACCTCTATAACAACATTCTCAGATAAACTGTAGTTCTGTTTCCTTAGAACCTGCTTCCCTGAAATTTAAAAGTAATTAAAAAATGATTTCCTGCTGTTTCTTCTTCGTCTGAAGGAGGGAAAAAGATCATTAATTAAAGTGGCAAAATATAGCAACATGGGAAAGTATTTGGTTAGGCACTGGGAGTTGTAGGACAAGGCAGGGAGTTGCAGGGAGAAATGCCCTCCAGTCTGTCAGACTCCTGCCCCGAGGTAAAGCAGCCCGTAAGAAAGCTGGGGCTGGAGTCATTTTGTTTATTGTGTTTATTATTTATGCACAAACTCGGTTAACGTTTACTTATCATTGTATTTGTTAATTATATCCAGCTATCAGAGTTGTAAGGGAAAACATAATAAAATTATTACATAGAAATAGGGAAATAATTATACCACAGCCTTAGATAACTGTATCTGCTGTGCTTGAACACATTTTGCTTCTTAGCTTCTTGGCAACAAAGCAAAAGGACAGCATGGGGATCATATAATTCTTACTCTGTGATTACGAAGTAAATAAAAGGCAAACATCACAGCCGACAGCACAGAGAGCCTTATTGGAGCTGGCACCTGTGCTATGAGCCGTGTAGGTCACGATATAAGGTATATCAAACAGTGTAACAGGCAGCATCTACAGTGGTGGTTTTCTTGAGTATCCAGAAAATTCTCAGGTTGATCTTTTATAGTATAAACACTTGACTTAAAATGGATATATCACATAAAAAAAAGTGAACTCACTGAAACCTTCTCTATGAAATTCAAAATGAGAAAGCCCCAATTTTTTTTTTCTTATAAATTGATGGATGCACAGATTGGTCTGGGAGGGACAAATGGTCCATTCTACCCAATCAGCAGTTGTAGCCAGGCTTCTGACATGAGTAGGTATCAGAGAAGCATTCAGTGGGAGGAATGTCGAGGGCAAGTGTTTTGTGTTGGTTGATTGAAAGGTGAGCCATACATTTTGTAGGAGACTTGGGGGACTCAGAATGGACCTGAGTTATTTTGGGGTGAGATCAGATTTCAGCATAAATACATATACCTGTACTAGGTGAGCTACTGATGAATAAGGGGGAAATTCGGGGAACTCTGAATTACAAGTGTATATTTAATTTCCATTATTGAAACAAGTGATTTGAGGTCAGGCAAGAAGGCCCAAGTCAGTTATTTCAACCACTCAAATTATCTGGGAAGCTCTTTAAAAACAAGTTTTATTTATTTATTTGTAAGACAGAGTGAAAGAGTGCGAGTGAGTGCTCTTCCAACTGTTGGTTCACTTCCCAAATACTCCCAACAACCAGAGTTAGACAGGCCAAAGCTGGGGCGAGGAACTCCATCCAGGCCTCCTGAATGCGTGACTGGGACTCAAGTACTTCGGCCGTCATCTTCTGCCTCCCAGGATGTATTAGTAAGGAAGGTGGATCGGAAGTAGAAGTGGTTCTGAACCCAAGCACTCTGATAGAGAATGCAGATGTCCCAAGCAGCGACGTAGCCCGCTTAACCACATGCCTGCCCTGTCTGGAGAGCTTTAAAGAATGCGTGCATTTGTATATGTGTACACATACACATATATAGCATTATACATGTATATGTGTGTGATTGTATTTAAATGAGTGTGTATATTTTTGCTGAAACCTAATCTCACCCCTGAATAATCTAGTAATTCTGATCTGGGGTGAGACTCAGACATCCGTAGTTTTAAGAAACTCCGAGTGATCGCAGCGTGCAGCTAGGACTTCAGAACCACTGCCTGGACTCTCTTAACAGCTCTCATGTAATCGTCTCCTGTTTGTGTCCCGCACTAAAGCAGTTCTACAGCAACTGCATCTTACATTCTGAATCCAACTTTATATACAGAGACCGCAACAGTATAGACATTTACTTTCCTTAAAATCCCTTTCCGACAGTAAAAGCACATTGTTTCACTATTTCTACCCTCTTTTCATGCATTCACATTTTATGTATCTCATTACTGCTGTAGAAATCGCAAATGAAATCAGTACTAGAATAAAAACACTTCATTTTCAATTAAGAATGTTTATTTGAAAATGCTAATATAAATCAACATGTGTTCTCCTGGTGAATGTAAACCTTGGTTCTTAGATTCATCCTCATATGAATTTCTCCTTTTTGTTAAGTAGAAGTTGACAATTTCCAATCCAATTACGATATTTGTATGGGACTCCCTTGCCCAGTTACTAACCACGCAATATCTGAATGTTTTTGGTATACCAGAGTTCACATTCTGCTGGACTCACTGTCCATAAAATTTTGTGTATATTGCCCTTTGTTTTAGAAATATACAAATGAGGCTGGGTGTTTGATACAGTGGTTGAGACTACTTGGGATGCCTGCATTCCATATTGGAGTGCCTGGGTTCGAGTCCTGACCCTGCTCCTGATCAAGCTTTCTGTAAATGCACACCTGGGAGGCAGCAGGTGATGGCTCAAGTACTTGGATCCCTGCCACCCACATGGGCAACCTGGATTGAGTCCTGGACTCTGGCTTTGGCCTGGCCCAACACCAGCTATGGTGAGTGTTTGGGCAGTGAGCCAGTAGTTGGGAGATCTGTGCTTCAAAAAGTACATAAATAAATTAAAAAAATGCATAAGAGAAATATATTCCCCCAAACAAGGCATATGAGGCAACATTGTTACATATAGCAACAAATTTCCTTTACTACAGCATCCTATATGTCAGTTGGGGTTGGGGGTGGGGGTTGGGGGTGCATTTGGATGAGCCTGGAGCTTATATAAAAGCTGGCTGGCCGGTGCTGTGGCTCACTAGGCTAATCCTCTGCCTGCGGCGCTGGCACCCTGGGTTCTAGTCCCCGATTGGGGCACCGGTTCTGTCCCGGTTGCCCCTCTTCCAGGCCAGCTCTCTGCTGTGGCCAGGGAGTGCAGTGGAGGATGGCCCAGGTGCTTGGGTCCTGCACCCTCAAGGGAAACCAGGAGAAGCTCCTGGCTTCGGATTGGCGCAGCATGCCGGCTGGAGCATCCATTTGGGGGGTGAACCAATGGAAGGAAGACTTTTCTCTCTGTCTCTCTCTCTCTTTCTCACTAACTCTGCCTGTCAAAAAAAAAAGGAAAAAGAAAAGGTGGCTTCACTTGTGCCAGACGTTTCCATGAAATGTCCAAACCCTTGTAGAAAGAATCGTGTTGGTAATGTACAGCTGTAATCAGGTAGATAATTAGATCTGCTCCCAGGGACAGTGAGGAAGTGAACTGATATTACGATAAGATTCGGGCCATGTGGAAAAGCAGCCAGGCAACACTAGTTGCTTCCAAGTGGGTTATGTCAGCTGTGCAGTGCTGCAAGTCATGGCATGGTTTTAAATGCAAAAGATGCAGTAAACATGGCACTCAAGAGTCTTGGCTAATATTTGCTTCCCTCTGATTTCACCTTCCATGCAAAGGAGTTCAAGCTGATGCAATTTCCCCATAATCCACAGTAATCAGAAGGTTTAACATAGTATTCTATGGTGACTTAGTAGAAATTGAGAGATCAGCCCTGAGTAAACATATTTGATGTTTTCCTTGATGTGTTCCTGGAAGTTCCAAGATGAATCGACTAGAATAAACATGGCTGTGCAACGCCGTGTGCTCTGCTGCAGGAACTCTCCCTGGGCTGCCTGCTGAAGCTGAGCGCCTGCTTCTCTGCTGGCTTGCTGCCCTACGTCTACCTGCCAGTCTCCTCCTACCTCAGTCGAGCCCGGTGGACCTGGGGAGACCAGACAACACTGCCGGGCTTTTGGACACATTTTCTCAGGGAAGAATATGGAACGTTCAGCCTGGTAAGACTGTGCTTAAAGCCCCTCTAGGGCAGTAGGTGTCCCAGCTGCAGTGTGCTGCCTGGACCTTGATTGAAAAAAGAAAAGAAAAAAATCGATAGTTATTGGTGGCAGCAGAAAGATTTTTTATTTCAATTATTTGTTTTTAAAGATTTACATATTTATTTGAAAGGCAGAATTACAGAGAGGCAGAGACAGAGAGAGATAGGTCTTCCATCCGTTAGTTCACTCAACAGATGACTGCAACACCGGAGCTGTACTGATCCGAAGCTAGGAGCCAGGAGCTTCTTCCAGGTCTCCCATGCTGGTGCAGGGGCCCACGGACTGCTTTCTCACTGATTTCCCAGGCCACAGCAGAGCTGGATTGGAAGTGAAGCAGCCAGGACTCGAACCAGCACCCATATGGGATGCGGGCAGAGCAGGCAGCGGCTTTACCCCCATGCCACAGTGCCAGCCCCTATTTCAGTCATTTCTATAACCAACTTGTCCCTTGGAATGTGACCTCTAACATGTTATAAAATAATCAGAATCATTCAGTCTGACATCCCATGGTTGTGTATCCTGAATCTGCTTTTCAGGATGCCAACCCCGGGAAGGAGTCCGGCCCCCGCTCTCACCACATTTCAGTCTGGTTAGCATTGGGTCCCACTGTGGACACTTAGGCTGTGAATACAAATATTTGGAAAAGATTGAAAGATAAAAAGACACTCAAAATTTTTAATTTACCTTGATCAAACACTCTTTTAGAAAGTTTTTTTATTTGAAAGGCAGCGTTACAAAGAGAGGGATAGACTGAAACAGAGATCTTCCATCCACTGGTTCAACTCCCCAAATGGCCACAATGGCTGGAGTTGGGCCAGGCTTGAAGCCAGGAGCCAGGAACTTCATCTGGGTCTCCCACATTGGCGTAGGGGCACAGGCACTTGGGCCATCCTCCTCTGCTTTCCCAGGTGCATTAGCAAGGAGCTGGAGCAGACTATAGCAGAGGAGTGAAAAAAAAAAAAAAAAAAAAAGGCTATTAAATCACTGAGGTATTAATCATTCCTGCTGGAATAGTTTAACTGATTTTTAGCCAATTATTATTTTTAAAATTCTTCCTAAAGATGTCCAAGTTTCGTTTTCACTTAAAAATTCAATGAGGCTCTGAAATGAAGAGAGATACTGCCTTATAAATTAAAAACATGGATCTTTTAAACCAAGGTCATTAGAATAGAATAGCCTAACAAAGCTTGAGCTTAATGCTTATACAAATAAATTTTTCTCCTTTGTGTTTAGGCCAAATCTGAAATAGGATCCAGTATGTCTGAAATACTGCTGTGAGTACAAAATGTTGGAAATTGGTTTTAAATGAATTCTCTATTAGTTCCTGATTTTAGAGTTCATCTGTAAAGAAGTATCTGAGAAGTTTTTACAGTTAACAGTTGTCAAATATTCTATCATTTTCTTCAATAAAAAAAGGCTTAAAGTGAGCAATAAATACAATCAGAATATTAGGAAACTATATTGAGCCTATAGAATTGTTCAACTTCCAATTGGATGCAATATTACCCAGTGTAGTATTGCTATATAAATAATTTATTCTTTATTCTGTTTTTTTATATTGTCTCTCTTGTTGAGACATTCTGTAATATTATATTCAGCACAATTTTAACAGTTATTTTCATGTCAATTCCCTTTTAAGCTATTTTAATTCTCTTAATTCTTCAGAGCTTAATTTATTTCTTATAACTTCCTTGAGGCTGTCCTTGTCATGAGCTGTGTTTTTGACTTACATATTTTTAACATCCAATTTTATTAGAGCCGGCTTACACAAATATTTTCATCTATCCAGTCATGTTCTTTGAAAAATGGGTTAATATTTGTTGCTTTGAACCTGCACAGATTAAGACAATTTGAAAAATATCCATACTACTCTCAATATTTTCAATACAAAGTTTGGAGGAAAATAGGTTTCTATAACACTGATGTGAACTTTTTCCGATTACTAATTTGGAGCTCTTGGAGCTGCATGAACAAACTATGGGAAAATATTTCAACATTACATATGAGGCAGTTCATGGGTTCTTACACTTTCTGTCGTTTCTCTTTAAACAACTTTTTTTCCTACTGCAAAAAAAGATGCATAATCATAATCAAAATGCAAAAATACAGGTAAACAAAACTAAGGAAATTAAAATTGCCTGTAATTCCAACATTCAGGGATAGTCACTATCACTAATCTGTTAACACTTTGCTTGTATTTTTCTGCTATTTCCTCTATTTTTGCTTGCTTCTAGGAACAGATAATGATATGCATACTCTTGTCAGCCTGCTATTTTTTGACTTTATACCGTATCTTGAGAATATTTGCATGCCATCAGTTACTCTTACCTAGGCTTTGGATGGTTCTCATGATTGATGTTGTTGGTGCCTTTTTATGTCTGAGGCTTCTGGGAGGCCTTTCTCTTTTACTGGGGAGAAGGGAGCAAGCGGCGCAGTCTCCTGTCAGATAAAAACTGCTTTATCATGATGTCTAAGCTTCATGTGATTCTGCCTTCTCCTTTCTACCTCCCTTCCAGGGCTTTCAGAATTACTGGGATATTTTGCCTTAACAAATCCCACATGAGCCCCAAAACCCCTCCACAGTAATCCTAGACCCTTGGTTTAGCTTTTCTAAGTTACACATAAAAGTCATCTGTTGGGAAACTGAAAGGCCTTCTTTACACTAAAATAGTAGCAGTTAGGTTCTGTACCTAGAAAAATGACTTGACTAAAGGGATGACCTCTCACACCCACACTATTTGAACCAAGTCACCATCTGCAGTGGAGGCATGATCCTAGCACCCTCTGAGTGAGAGTCTAGTCCGTAATTGTTTCAGGTGGGCTGGAGTGTTGAGAAAGGCAACTCGTAATTAACAGGAGAAAAATCCTTCAAAATGATGAACCCTAATCATCTACCCTTTTCCAGTCAAGCAAATTAAATTCTTTCCCCATGCATATCTCTAAATTGCAATCCCTGTACAAGGAAATTATTGAATCTAACCTTAGGCAGTGACCATCTTTTAGAGCTTACATTGAAGCAACAGATCACCAAGAATTAATTTTGAGACTGACTTCATTCCTTTTGAAGAATGGTTAGAAATGGGCCTCATGCTGGAATCAATTTTTCAAGTGTATTTGAAAATGAGTAAGGATATCTTCTTTGCAGTAGATGAGGCTCCATTAGTTGAATGCACATTGTGTGGTTTCCATAATGATGGCATCACATCTTCTGTGAAATTGCCAGTAGGGAGGAGAAAGTTCTTTGAGATGATGTGAAAAGCCTTTGCTTTTTAGAAAATCAGAGGCAGCTGGGGTAGCGGGTATTTTAGCACTCAGCACCTGAAAAATGCATCCTAGTTAATTGGAGAATTTAGTTTAATTATAGGGGGAAAAGAAGAATACATTTCCCTGGCATAGCTTAAACATTTTTCTGAACCAAACAATATAGAAGACAAGGAGAACTTTTAAGGAAGAAGATAACCCAGAAAATAATACTGGGAGATCATGTCTCTTGCCTTTGTTTTCTTCATGATTGGATCTCCAGAAAACTACTTGAATGAAATTTAGTTTTCAGTTGCTGAATCCCTAGAGACCGTGTCTGCATTGCCAACAGAGGAAAGTTCAAAAACCCATTTCAGACAACTTCTTATCAAGCCAATAATCAGGGACATCTTCCACAGTGTACTAGTGTCAGAGCACAGAAAAATTATTTGTCCTGATCCTATCCCAAATTATATGTGTTTGATAATTGGAAAACATTTCAGAACAGTTTAACTCTTTCTGTGGTACTTCTGAATTTTGAAGGAGACAAAATTTTAAAACGTGACCCAACCCCTAAAATTGTTCAGTGCATAGTCAGATATATTCCACGAAGATTTTGTTTGGAATTAACCAAGTTTGTTTTCTGCCATCAATAAGCTGGGTTGGTTGGTTTGTCTGTTTTACAGTTCTCAAGTAACAAATATGAAGGCTGAACTCTCATTCAACATCCAAGCCCTTGCAGTTTGGGCAAATATAAGTTTACTAAGAAAGTAAGTATCATAATTCCTTTTTCTGTGATTTTTCCCATTTTCATACACGGAATTAATCTTTTCAATACATCATTGAAGAACATATATTGTTTTATATTCTAAATAAATGATTCTCCTAACAACTTCTATTAAGATAAGTGCACATTGGCCAGCGCCGCGGCTCAATAGGCTAATCCTCCACCTGCGGCGCCGGCACACTGGATTCTAGTCCCGGTCGGGGTGCCGGATTCTGTCCCAGTTGCCCCTCTTCCAGGCCAGCTCCCTGCTATGGCCTGGGAGTGCAGTGGAGGATGGCCCAAGTCTTTGGGCCCTGCACCCACATGGGAGACCAGGAGAGCACCTGGCTTCAGATCAGTGTGGTGCGCCTGCCACAGCAGCCATTGGAGGGTGAACCAACGGCAAAGGAAGACCTTTCTCTCTGTCTCTCTCTCTCACTGTCCACTCTGCCTGTCCAAAAAAAAAAAAAAGATAAGTGTATATTACTTTTTCTTCCTACAAAAAGTGATTCTAAAAAAATGAATAGTATATTTTAGTCTAAAGGGACAACTCAGGGTGGGTGTTGTGGCATAGCCAAACGAGTTAAGCTACCACCTGAGATGCCAGCATCCCATACAAGTGCTGTTTCAAGTGCTGGCTCCTCCATTTCCAACCCAGCTCCCTGCTGATTTACCTGGGGAGGCAGTAGAAGATGACCCAAGTGTTTAGGCCCCTGGGAGGCCTGGACGGAGTTCCAGGCTCCTGCCTTTGGCCTGGCCTAACCCTGGTCATTGTGGCCATTTAGGGAGTGAACCAAGCAGATGGAAGATCTTTCTCTCTCCCCCACTCTCTCTCTGCCATGCTGCCTTTCAAATAAATAAATAAATGTTTTTTTAAAAGGCAACTCATTTGATAAACTTGTGATTTTATCATCCTTTACTACAGCCAATTATAAATGGTTGATTTGGAAAAGAAAGACAATTTAAATTCCCCTGATGGGCTGGCTCCGCCGCTCACTAGGCTAATCCTCCGCCTTGCGGTGCCGGCACACCGGGTTCTAGTCCCGGTCAGGGCGCCGGATTCTGTCCCGGTTGCCCCTCTTCCAGGCCAGCTCTCTGCTGTGGCCAGGGAGTGCAGTGGAGGATGGCCCAAGTGCTTGGGCCCTGCACCCCGTGGGAGACCAGGAGAAGTACCTGGCTCCTGCCATCGGATCAGCGCGGTGCACTGGCCACAGCGCGGTGGCCATTGGAGGGTGAACCAATGGCAAAGGAAGACCTTCCTCTCTGTCTCTCTCTCTCTCTCTCACTGTCCACTCTGCCTGTCCAAAAAAAAAAAAATCCCCTGATGACAAAAGAAAGCGTAAACATTTGCATTATTAACCTCTACTAATTTTTAACAGCATTTATTTATTTTAAAGGCAGAGCAACAATGAGAGAGGGAAACACACACACACACACTACACACGCATACAGATAGTCCATTTGCTGCTTTGCAGACCCAAATGGCCACAACAGGCAGGAGCTGGGCCAGGTGAAAACTAGAAGCCAAGCAACTCTATCTGGGTCTCCCACATGGGTGACAGGGAGTGAACCAGCAGATGGAAGATCTGACAGGGGCCCAAGCACTTTGGCCATTATCCCCTGCCTTCCAAGGCATAAAAGCAGGGAGCTGGACTGGAAGTACACTAGCTGGAACTTGAACCATCCCTCCAGCATGGAATGCCAGCATTGGAAGGGGACAGCTTAACACACTGCACCACAATACTGGCCTCTAACATCCATTAATATTTTAGTCATTTACTTTCCAGTCTGTTGAATGCATGTATAAGATGCCTTCAAAAAGTTAATGGAAAATTCATATTATGAAAAAACTGAATGAATATTAAAGTTTTTATCCCAAAATAAGCTTATATTTTAAAAAAAAGTGGTATTAATTTGAGGAACAGGCAGAGAGAGAGAAAGAAAGCAACATTATATGTTTATTTATATATATGTATATATAGAAATGTATAATATATAATATATAAAAATATATTTTATATATATATATATATAAAGAAACTCCAGTCTGCTAGTTCATTCCCCAGATACGTGCAGTGGTGGCGGGAGGGGGCAAAGGCAGGAGCAGGAACTTAATCCAGGGCTCCTGTGTGGTGGCAGGAACCCAGTTACTTGAGCCATCACTGCTGCCTCAAAGGTTGCATTAGCAGGACGCTGAAGTCCGGAGCCAGAGGCAGAAGTGAACCAGGCACTCAGATCCGGGCCACAGGCGTCTTAAGAGCAGCTTAACCACTAGGCTAAATGTGTACCCCCAAACCCATCTTTTTTTTTTTTTTTTTTAAGATTTATTATTGGAAGGGCAGAGTTACAGAGAGAGAAGGAGATGGGGAGAGAGAGATCTTCCATCTGCTGGTTCAGTCCCCAAATGGCCGCAAGGACTGGAGCTGGGCCAATCTGAAGTCAGGAGCCAGGAGCTTCCTCCAGGTCTCTCAGGTGGGTGCAGGGGCCCCAGGCACATCAGCAGGGAGCTGAATCAGAAGTGAAGTAAGTGGGACATGAACTGGCACCCATATGGGATGCCAGCACTGAAGGTGACAGCTTTACCTGCTAAGCCACAGTGCTGCCCCCCCCACCTATCTTTTTTTTTTTTTTTTTTTTTAAGATTTATTTGTTTATTTGAAAGGAGAGATAGTGAGGTCTTCCATCCACTGGTTCACTCTCAAATGGTCACAGTGGCTAGAGCTGGGCTGATCCAAACCAGGAGCAAGGAGCTTCATCTGGGTCTCCCATGCAGGTGCAGGGACCCAAGCACTTGAGCCGTCCTCCGCTGCTTTTCCTGGCAATGAGCAGGGAGCTGGATCAGCAGTGGAGCAATTGAAACTTGAACCAGCACCCATATGGGATGTGGCACTGCAGGTGGTGGCCTTACCCACTAAGCCACAGTGCCCACAGCGCCGGCCCCCAGATAAACTTTTTTCAAAAGATGGTACTGATACACATTTTCATTCTACTACATCCCTACCTAACAAAGAGATGTGTTTTAAAACATTTTGAGCATGAAAACATTGTTTTGAGTACTTCTTAAATTTAACAAAATTGATAGTTTGTATTTCTTCTGTGAATTTTAACTTTGTATCCTTTGCTGCATAGTTCCAAGTTGTCTATAGTATATAATTCAAACTCATTACTGTATTTGGTTATCTGTTTTAATTCAGATTTTTAAAATGGAGATCCTTCTTTATTCTTGGTTGAAAATGGGATGGTTTGTGGTTCTGAACATTTTTCCCTACAATTTAAGGCTATGTAATATTGTTGATATTCATACATCTAAATAATTTTGGATCTGTTTTTATTTTTTATTTTTGTAGGGACAAACAGACTCCATCAGTAGTATGGCTTTTTACTGGAATGCTTTGCATTTATTCATTGTTCTTTGCTTGGAGGGCAAATTTAGATATTTCAAAGCCACTTTTCATGGGTGTGGTAAGTTTTGCTTAAATCTCCCCTTTTCCCAGGAAGTTCATGAAGACTGTATGCATTTGTCTTTCATGATCCCTGTAGAAGTACAAATTATTTCAGGCATAGTTAATATTTTGTATACTGTTGGGACAGGTGTTAGCACAGTGGTTAAGCTGCTGCTTGGGGCACCTGTGTCTGGTATTAGAGTGCCTGGGTTAGAGTGTTGACTCTGCTCTCCAGTCCATTTTCTTGTTAATATGTCCCTAGAGGCAACAGATAATGGCTCAAATACTTGGGTCCCTGCCATCCATGCAGGAGACCTGGATTGAGTTTGTGGCTGCTGACTTTCACCTGGCTTGGCCCAGACTCTTGCAGGCATTTGAGGAGTAAGCCAACAGATGGAAGTTACCGCTCTCTCTCCCTCTTTCTCTGTCTCTCTGTCTCTCTGTCTCTCTGTCTCTTCCTTTCATATAAATTAAGTAAATGAGTAAATAAATTTTAAAAAGTTAAAACTATCAATCTATTAAGGCTGAAGGTTCTTTTTAGGGAAAAAAAATACATTGTTAACATAGTTAAATAAAAAATAAATATAGACTTAAGTTGGTCATTGTGTTTGTGGAGGGATGTGTACACATGTTTACAGTTATTGCTACAACTATATTTCTTCAGGATTTTTAAAAAAAATAGCTACCTTTTTATTGATATTGCACTACAGTTCCAGCTTCCTACTAATCTGCATCCCCGGGAAGCAGATGATGGCTCAAGTAGTTGGGTCCCTGCCACCCGCATGGGGCACCCAGATGGAGTCCCCACTGCAGGCGTTTGGGGAATCAGCAGATGAGAGCACTTTCTATCTCTGCCGCTCAAATAAATAAATAGAATATAGACAACTCTTCTCTGACAGCTGGAACTAACTGTGTGTGGGGTTAAAGAGTGCCTCCCTTGATTGCCTGAGTTTTGGATCACTTGAGAAACTAGATAAGCCATTTTACTGGGTGAGGGAGTTACCTTTATTGCTAATAATGCTGAGATCAGAGAATGTGGCTTCTATGTGGGCCAAGGGACCTCCTTACACTGTGTCCTAGAATGGACACACACCCGTGAGCCACGGGCAGTGCTGCACAGGGCCGGCCTCTCCCCACCTCATCCCCAGCCTCTGGTGCCATTGGGACAGACTGTCCCTAGACAGGTGCTTTCTGGGGACAGTCCACTTCCCAGAGACAGAAAGAGGAGGAGCTCTGTGCAGGCCCAGGCCCAGCTCCCAGCTCACCAGTTAGATCAGTGTCCCCTAAGAAGAGTGAGAGAGGCCAGGACGGTTCTACTTAGGGAGCGCCTGAGTGAAACAAAGCCTTTCTCCACTTCCTGCACCCTGCCTCCTGGTGGAGTTCCAGATGAAGGCCGGAGTGTGTGGATCCAAAGAGGGAACCGCGGGCATCAAACTCGAAAGGAGGAATGTGTAAAGATGGAGCACTGAAGGGACCCGACACTGGGATGGGGGAGTCCGTGAACGAGCCTCAGTTGACAAACAGAGCAACTCGGTGTATGCAGTGTGCTCTGCGATTATTTATTTATTTCGAAGGCAGGGTTACAGAGAGGGGGTGGCAGAGGCAGAGAGAGAGAAAGATCTTTCATCTGCGGTTCGCTCCTCAAGCGGCCAAAACAGCCTGGGCTGGGCCAGGCCAAAGCCATGATCTAGGAGCTTCTTCTAGATCTCCCAAGTGGGTGCAGGGGCCCAAGCACTTGGGCCATCTTCTGCTGCTTTCCCAGGCACATCAGTAGGGAGCTGAATTGGAAGTAGAGCGGCTGGGACTCGAACCGGCTCCCCTAAGGGATGCCAGCGCTGCAGTGGCAGTTTTGCCCGCTGTGCCACAGTGTTGGCCTCTGCAGTGTATTTTAAAAACATACAAGTACCTGAGCGCTTGCACAGTCACCTGGACCTGCTGTTTACCCGACTCTTTCTCAGGTGGAACGGTTCTGGATGCAGAGCAATGCAGTGGTGGCCGTCCTCGCTGGCGTCGGCTTGGCTGCCCTTGTGTCTGAGAGTAGCCGGGTGCTCAACAGCAGTGGGCTGCAGTGTCTGGAATGGCTCTCCACCACCCTTTTTGTGGTTTACCAAATATATTGTAATTACAGGTAACGCGTGGTTATTCTTATCTAAAAATAAGCACACAAGCCAGGAACGTTTGGACATTGAGATATCCTAGAACTTTCATTTTTATCTTCCGCTGGTTTTCAAGACTCAGAGTTGATGCAGTTTAATGAAGGCAGATGTTCTGAACTTTGGGGTTTTAAACCCTGTGACCCAGAGTCTGCACAGCTGATGTGTGTTTTTGGGCCATGGCAAGCAGGGGTCTGGATGGTGCATGCAGAGCGTGTACTTACTTGTGGAGAACCCCAGAAGTACTGTGGAGAACCTGGAGTACATGTGAATTTCCACAATTCAAAGATTGCTTAGATGGAGGAGAAAGAGATTTGGGGCTTTGTGTGTGCCTTAAAATAATTTACTGTATGCTTCAAAGATTTCATCCTTTGAGTAATACTTGTTCCTGGTCCAGATTACCCCATAGTAGTGAATGCCGATTATTTTTAAAGGAATTTTAACATCATAGGATATTAAATAATATCATAAATGTGATAAATAATATATTTAATATCATAGGACTTAATTTTCTTAAGTCTCCTATGATATTGGTATCATATATATTTTTCAAAATCTGCCTAATGGCTATTAAAGTAGAAATCTCAGTGTAGCAGAAGACGTGTGAGTGTTAGATGTCAGCCCGTTTATTTCAAAACAGCAGTATGGTGTGCACGTCACCCAAGTGGAAGAGTGAGTCCTGTGCAAGTTTGTTGCCATGGAATCTGCCTGGCATTGTTTTAAACGATTGTGCTTTCCTCCTTCAACTTGACTTTACAGACTTTACAGGGTCCTCTGTAATGCCGAGGCCGTGGGGGGAGCCCTTGTTAGGTGACGGCTGAGTTGCCAGGAGTCCCCATGTCACAGCACAGCTGCATCACCAGCTCAGGAAGCATTCACCGGGCCCCCGCGTGTTGCTTGCCCTTTTTTTTTTTTTCCAAATCCCAGTCTTCCTGTTTGTTGGTTCGCTAGAGCAGTCCAGTTTCAACACCAAGGACACTTCCACAGCATGAGTTTTCCCCCTGCGTCCGTCCGGGAATCTTGGGAGTAGGCAGCAGTGATTGCCGCACTGATGACAAAGGCGGGGGTGATACTCTGTTCCTGCAAGTGTCTGTCTGCTTGTGACACTCGCCCAGCGATTCCACTTGAGGCATTGTTTCTCAGCTCCATCTGCTGTGACGGACCTGATAGCAACAGGCAGGGCACTGCTTGTCCCCATTGTCTGATGCTTTTACTTCTCTCATAGTCTTTTTCCTTTTTCCCAGAAAGCTCTTAGAAGTCGTGCCACTGTTTCTTTGAAGTATGAAAGTCCCTTCCTTCTTGAAAAGAGCTGCACTGCTGCTGTTGGCAGTAGCAAATGATGTCTGGAGAGAAGTACACATCTCAAAAACCCTATCCCCAAGCTCCCCGCTTCTCCGTCTCATTCCCTTGTGAGGCGAGCCCAAGAAGCCTGCAGGTCGTGGAAGCATCACATCACCCTCTGCGTGCGAGAGTCATACAGATGCCCTAACAGGACGCCAGACATTGGCAGATCTCCCTTTCCATTTCTGGAAGTTCCTTTGGAGTAAATGGAGTTAACATGAAATTACTTTAAATCACAAAGGGAATCTGAAAACCTAGGTTGAAGACTGAAATTGGCTTGTTTTTAGTAGGGAGGAAAGGACCTCTTCGTGAGCACTGATTTCCCCTCTATGGACAGGATTCTAAATTCCAGAAGTGAGGCAGCCCACTGATAATTGCACAGTCTCCCTACCCCCACCCCGCCCGACACACACATACCTTTTTGTTTTTGTTTTTTTATCAGATGGTAGCATTCTTTTCAAATATAGGCCTCCTGTTAGAGGATATAAATTAGAATGCTTTGGAACACTGAATGTAGATTGTGTGGTGGGACAGGGATGGCACGGAACATAAGTCTAGTGTTAATTAAAACTGTCAGAGTGTTACTGTTTTAATTTTTTAAATCCTTTTTATTTAGCATTTGTGACCAAAGGACCAACTATGTGATTGATAAATTTGCAAAGAACCTTCTGGCCTCCATGCCTCGTGATGCGATTCTCTTACTGAGAGGGGACCTGCCTGGGAATTCGCTTCGTTACATGCATTACTGTGAGGGCCTCAGGCCAGATCTCTCCTTAGTGGACCAGGAAGTGAGTACATGAACAACGAGCTTGGAGCAGAGCAGCCACTCGAAAACATGTTGTTGTTGTTGTTTTAACTGTGTTATTTTTTTTTTTTAGCAGTGAATGGTTCTCATTTTTGTAATCATTGTTAGGTAGGATATATGTCACATTCTTTTATTTATTGTAATAGTGAGTTGCTTCTTTTTCATCGAAACTGAATGCTTCAAGAATTAACATGTTTCATGCTAAGTTCAAATAATATTGTAGGTCTCTAGTTCATATAAAATCCATGAACATGCTTATTATGTTGTAGATTTTTGTTTTCATTTAGTCAGTTCATCCATTCAAATTAAAACTGCCCACTGCTCCAGGGATTACAGTAAATTAAGTTGAATATAAATGATACTATGGATAAGTAAACATTTCACTCAAAATGGAAATAATCACAACTACACAATAGAATTTTTATATAAACTTTGTTAGTCCTATGACAGTATGTTAGGAGGGTACTTAAGAAATTTTCGGGGCTGTTTAAATAATTTTCTGGAACTAAAGAACTAGATTTAGACTGTAGGATTTATTATTTAAATCTTACGTAAAAGGGAACAAATCTATCTCTAGTGTTTTTAGAGCAGTCATCAGGAAAAAGGAAATTCTTAATCTTGAAAGAGTATTATGATTAGTTCAGTTGAGCAAATTATTAGGCACAATACTTATTAATAAACTGCAATGAATTAAAGATTAAGCAGAATTTTTGGAGGAAACTAAACAGATTTGCGAATACTCTATAGGGAAATTTGCACATCACACATATTTTTATGAGCAGTTTGCTTTTATATCATGTGCACAGGTTGACTAATTTGATCTTCAGGCTAGCTTCTGAAAACACTAGGTTATGTGTTGAGAACGTGATATCACCCCATGATTTTAAATACTACTTAGAATGGCAGGACTACAGCTGAGAAGCATGGATTTCAAAGTGAATTAGACCTAAATTCAAGTCCTCATTCTGTCACTTCCTGGATGTGTAACATGGGCCTAAGGATTTTCCCTCTCAGAGCGTCTGTTTGCTTGGAAATAAAATGGAAGTCATTAATATGTAAGTCAGAGTGCTTCTCAGCACAAGAAACAGGACAGCTGAGAGTAGCTTCAGCTATGGAATTTTTATTTAAAGTTGTGTTTATTTAATTTGAAAGTCAGAGTTACAAAGAAGAGAGGGAGAGACAGAGCTCTTCCATCCACTAGTTCACCCTCCAGATGGCCTCAACCACCAAGGCTGGGCCAGGCTGGAGCCAGGAGCCAGGAGCTTCTTCTGGGTCTCCCAGATGGGTGCAGGGTCCCAAGGACTTGGGCCATCTTCCACTGCTTTCCCAGACACATCAGCAGGGAGCTGGACTGGAAGTGGAGCAGCCAGGACTCGAACAAGTGCTCACATGGATGCTGGTGTCACAGGCAAGGGCTTTACCTGCTACGCCACACACTGGCCCCCAACAATGGAATTTTTCTCATATAACCAGTAGTCTGGAAATGAGAGATTTTAGGATTGATCCACAGTACTTCAATGAAGTCAGTGTTCAGGACAGCTTTGTCCGGCTCCTCTTGACGTGGTGCTCACAATCACAAGATGAATGCCCGGTTCCAAACATCACATCCTAAGGCAGAACAAGGTGCTTCTTCTGGAATTTCTCTTTGTCTCTCTGTCTCTCCCTCTCCATCTCTCCCTCCCTCCCTCCCTCCCTCCCTCCATGTCCCTCATAATATGTGCCCCTGGGGCCCCAGCAGGCCTCTCCTCGGGCGCCACTGGAGTGGTGCTTACGCTGGCCGTGAAAGCTGAGTATGTGTCGTCCAGGTGCTGGATGGAGGACGCCCTTCTGGGTAGTGAGATGCATGGAGGTGATGTGAAGCCAGGTGCTGATGTGACTGGCAATGGACATTTCTTAAGACAATAGAAACAAAGTTGAGGTCATTCAAAGAATAGCCAGGCACACATACCTCAACTGTGCTTATGGTTTTCGGCTGTGTGTGTGCTGAGTGAGCGTCTTCAGATCCTAGAACCTTTGCATTGCATTTGATGCACTTGATTGTTTTCAGAACTCTATTAAACTATGCCGCCCCCTGCGATTTTTGGCAGATGATGACTTACGAGTGGTATTTACCCAAGATGGCAGAGCACTTGCCAGGTGTCCGCTTTCCTGGGAACCGGTGGAATCCTGTGGAAGGAATGTTGCCTAATGGAATGGTCACATTTAATCTTTATCATTTTCTCGAAATAAACAAACAGTAAGCATTCTTTTCATATAATAGCTTTTCTAAACTCTTAAGCTTTTCTAAAATTGTTTCTGTAGCAGCTGTGCCTCATCGAAAAGACCAATTTTCTACACCTATTTCCCTGTCACCAGTGAGATTATCTTTGTAATTAAATTGAATATCTGTGCATAAATGAGGCCAGGCAGAAATAAATGTTATTGTTCTGGGTAAAGGAAAAAATAGACAGATTAGCAAGAACAGCAAATAAGATCTTAGTACAATTCAGAGAAATTGGAGATGTGCCTGCCTACTTGAAATCATTGCAGGTGGATCGCAAGCAATTATAGTTTCCCCCTGATCAGCACCATGGCCTCCTTTTAAGTGTAAAGCAAATGTTTTCAGGAATAATCACTATATAAAAATAGCTTAAGGATTTTTTTTTAGAAAGGATAAGATTTTTATAAATAAGAAAAACACCTACAGTTTATGCTGGCTGAGATACAAATATGAGAATTGTGAATTTTGTACTTGAGATCCTAAATTATTCCAAGTTAAGGCCAAGAATAAGTACCTTCAGTGGTCTAGTGTTGAATGTTTCTCTGTCCGTGAAATGGTTGGGATTGTCCAGACCTTGCAGAAGAAAATTTTACTTCATAGTTTCTTTATTCTTAAAAAAAGGACTTCGGAAAGTCTTTATAAATCTTCCCCCTTGCTGAGGACTTAGTGATGCAGTAGTCCTGCTGTTGAGAGCCTGTGTTTACCGTGGCCCATGGAATAATGTGAAGGTGATGGGTAGAAATATGCTGTAAGAGTGACATTTAATTAGTCTATTCTGGAATAAAATATTAGGAACCTTAACCTACACACATTGGCATTCTTGTGAATTTTATTTAATTCAGTCCTCCAAATATTTTTTGAATGTCTGCTATATTACAGCTGGATTAGGCCCTAGAAATAAAAGATGAATGAGATTCAGCTCCAGATTAAGGAAGACCACAAGGCAGTGGATACGCGCATAGCTCCGACCAAGTAACCACAGTGAGATGAGATCAGTTCAGTACTGTGGCGCCTTGTAAGGAGCCAGGCAAAGACTCCATGCATCTACTGAGTGCCTGAGTGGCAGTGTCAGCCGAGTGTTCTGGGCACCTGGATGAGGAATCCATTAGCACTGCCTGAGAGCATTTCTTTTTTCTTTTTTTCTTTTTTCTTTTTTTTTTTTTTTTTTTGACAGGCAGAGTGGACAGAGAGAGAGAGAGAGAGACAGAGAGGAAGGTCTTCCTTTGCCATTGGTTCACCCTCCAATGGCTGCCGCGGCCAGCAGGCTGCAGCCGGCGCACCGCGCTGATCCGATGGCAGGAGCCAGGTGCTTTTCCTGGTCTCCCATGGGGTGCAGGGCCCAAGCACTTGGGCCATCCTCCACTGCACTCCCTGGCCATAGCAGAGAGCTGGCCTGGAAGAGGGGCAACCGGGATAGAATCCGGCGCCCCGACCGGGATTAGAACCTGGGGTGCTGGCGCCGCAAGGTGGAGGATTAGCCTAGTGAGCCGCGGCGCCGGCTGAGAGCATTTCTTTAGCTTGTGTTTCAGAAGGTGGATGGCTGATGTGTTCCATGATCAATATTAGGGAAATACTGTGTGTTCGCTGGGATATCCCACAGATACTGCGGGAAAGTGTGAAGACCATCAGTGTCATCTGTCTCCAGGACATCCACCATTAACGTGCTGATAGGCTTTGTTGGATTCCGTTCATTTGTAACATGAGTTATTGTTATGATTTATACGTACACACGCATGTGTTTATACACGTGCTGCATTTTAGGTCGCTGGGCTATCTTGTTTTCTGACCAGTTTTTTTCCACTGAATATCACATCATGAGCATTCACCATGTAAACAATAAAATGATGTCATCACTATTATTTTGGGGCTGTTATAATACTCATGAAATACATAATAATTGAATGAACATTCTATGTTTTTGGAAAGTTTTGTTTCTGGACAATTGCTGTTGTAATAGAACAGGGTGATGAGCACTATGGCCTACAAAACATTTTTGACCAGCAAAGATCTCAGCATAAATATTGGTTTTTGGTGTTAGTTTTTAAGATAGGCTTTTTTAAATTTTAAGAAGTAGTATGTGTCCACTATAAAATAAGGAATCTTTTTTTAAAAAGATTTTATTGGGGCTGGCACTGTGGTGTAGCAGATAAAGCTGCCACCTGCAGTGCCAGCGTCCCATATGGGTGCCGGTTTGAGACCGGCTGCTCCACTTCTGATCCAACTCTCTACTATGGCCCAGGAAAGCAGTGGAAGATGGCCGAAGTTCTTGGGCCCCTGCACCTGCGTGGGAGACCCAGAGGAAGCTCCTGGCTCCTGGCTTCGGATCAGTACAGCTCCAGCCATTGTGGCCAATTGGGAAATGAACGGACGGATAGAAGACCTCTCTTTCTCTCTCTCTCTCTCTCTCTCTCTCTCTCTCTCTCTCTGCCTCTCCTTCTCTCTCTGTGTAACTCTCACAAATAAATCTTGAAAATTAAAAAAATAAAAAGATTTCATTTACTTACTGATTTTAAAAGCAGAATTACAGAAAGGGAGCGACAGAGAGAGAGAGAGATCTTCCATCTGCTGGCTGGGCCAAGCCAAAGCCAGGAGCATGGAACTCCATCCAGGTCTCCCATATGGGTGGCAGGGACCCAAGCACTTGAGCCATCATCTGCTGCACCCCAGGATGCATTAGCAGGAACTCAGACTGGCACCCATATAAGATGCTGTCATCCCAAGGAGTAGCTTAACCTGCTGGGCCATAGCACCTGCCCTTCAGTTACCATTTTTTCTGAACCAAGCTTCCTTAAACTATTTCTACTAATAATTTTTTAGTATTTGAAGGTCCTATGAATTATTCTAATCTAATTAATTTTATTCAGAAGATATGAAAAGACTTAAAAAATGTGGAAAATAGAATTAAAAGAATCAGTTTATTTTGGTTCTAAAAATGTTTGAAAGCCATGCATAGTTTTTTCATTGTTCACATTTTCCATGAATCTTTTTCTTTTTCACTTTTTTTTAAGATTTACTTTATTTATTTGAAAGGTACAGTTACTGAAATAGAGAGAAAGGTCTTCCATCCGCTGGGTCACCCCCCAGATGACTACATCAGCCAGGGCTCAGCAGGGATGGAGCCAGGAGCCAGGAGCTTCTTCCGGGTCTCTCACATAGGTGCAGGGGCCCAAGCACTTGGGTCATCCTCCGCTGCTTTCCCAGGCACACGAGCAGGGATCTTGATCTGAAGTGGAGCAGCGGGACTGCTGTGGGACCTCTGGCCTCACAGGCAGCGGCTTAACCTGCTGCACCACAGCCCTGACGTCTCCATGAGCTTTTTGAAGACCTCTTGTGTACGTGGATTTCAAAGTGTTTGCACCAAGTTAGGCTTCTTTAATTACGCTTTCCACAAACCTGCAAGTACCCCTGTGTGTTAATGTATGAGACATAACCGCAGCAGTTTTTTATGACATTTGTCACTAAGTGATTTCTTGTAACATGGGGAATTTTTATTTTTTTTAAAGATTTATTTATTTATTTGAAAGTCAGTCACACAGAGAAGGAGAGGCAGAGAGAGAGAGGGGTCTTCCATTCCACTGTTTCACTTCCTAGTTGGCCGCAACTGCTGGAGCTGAGCTGATCCGAAGCCAGGAGCCAGGAGCTTCCTCCAGGTCTCCCACACAGGTGCAGGGGCCTAAGGACTTGAGCCATCTACTGCTTTCCCAGGCCACAGCAGAGAGCTGGATCAGAAGTGGAGCAGCCGGGACTTGAACTGGCGCCCGTATGGGATCCCAGCACTGCAGGCGACAGTTTTACCTGCTACGCTACAGTGCCGGCCACAGTAGGGTTTTTTCCATCTAAGTGTGTTTGCTTCCCTTCAACCCCTAAAAATAACCTTTTTCTTCTAAGATAAATTTCACGTAGTTTATTATAGAAATATTTAAATAAACCAGAATGTTTGCAGATGGCTTAATGGTCACCAAGATTTGAGTAAAAAAAAAATTGACCTTTCATGAATTATATCTTTAACAATTAGAACTTTCAGCTAAAAAATACATCCTTTGTTTTTCTGTTTCCAATAGAAAAGAAACGTTTGTCTGCATAGGAATTCATGAAGGTGACCCAACCTGGAAGAAGAAGTATTCCCTTTGGCCATGGGGGTCCTGCGACAAATTAGTCCCTTCAGATATTGTGTTCAACCCAGAGGAATGGATCAAACTCACGCGGAATCTCTACAACTGGACGGAAGAATACGGGCGGTACGAACAGCCGTTGTATTTTTAAGCGGTCACAGTAACAGTGGTGTGTGCCTAAAGAAAGCACGCCATTGTGAGATGCCTCTTGATCTTGCTGTGTTTTTCATTAATTAATATTGTTATTTGCTGCCCACAGAGTATCATACAGCAGGTGCAGAAAGAGCGTGTCTTCCTTGTCCTCCTGCTTACAGAACAGCAGGCCATGGAGGGACAGGAGGCTGTGGATGGGTGGGTCCCCAGTGCTTAAGATGGGGTGGGGGGCATCTTCCACTTCTTGGCCTTTTAGTGCTCTCCCACCCACTGGCCTGTGTCTCATGACCCTGACCATAGATGGACAAGATTCATCAACTGCACTTGAGCTTTGACAGGCACTCTGTTCCACGGGCATAGGCCTGTCAGATTTTCTCCAGGAATGGCGGGTACCTTCTCTACAGGGAAGAATGAGATCTTATAACTCTTAAAAACTACTTATGTATTTGTTTTATCAGTTTATTTATTTATTTAGAAGGCAGATGATAGGAGAGAAAGTTCTTCCATCTTCTGGTTCACTCCCCAAACAGCTGCAACAGCCGGGGCTGGGCCAGGAGCCAGGAGCTTCTTCCAGGTCTCCCACGTGGGTGGCAGGGGCCCAAGCACTTGGGCCATCTTCCGCTGCCTTCCCAAGTGCATTAGCAGGGAGCTGGATTGGAAGCAGAGCAGCCAGGACTTGGACCTGCGTTTGGCGTCAACCTGACTATGTTGTTTGGGGCATTATTAGTCTTCCTTCAAGTACCTCTTCAAAGAATTCACTCCCTCCCATATGGAAAATGAGTCACCATCTAAAGAAATTGCCCTCATTACCGATTTTTTAAATTATGAATCACTTAAAGATTATTTGACAACAGCAGGTGAGGCCGCCTAAGCAAGTGTCGTGTAGGTTTCTGAGCCTGTGTGAGCAAGTGGGCCTCATTGCTGTGTGGCAGCCAGGGGTAGGTTCCCAGGTCTACACATGGCACCCTGTGACCGTCAGCCCAGGGAACGGCATAGGTGTCAGACAGCTGGCAGTGCCACACACACGCAGCATTGTTCAGTGTCTTTATTCTGTAAAAATGGACGTAGAAGAGCAATTTCCGGTTATGAGAAGGAGCCATCAGCACGTGGCTTGGCCCGTGTTTGAGCAGCATGCTGGCTGCGGCCGGGTGATCCAGCTCCAGGCTCATCTGCTTGCCTTGCAGCGCTTTCACTCCAAGCTGTGTCCGTAGAGTGGCCCACGCCCCGCTTCTGCACTGTTGCCGTCTGATGGCTCTTCGGGGCGGCTGGCTCCCCAGGTGCCTGCAGCCTCTTCCCCTTGACTCTGCCTTTGCTCCCTTGAGGCATTTGGGGCTCATTACTTTTTTTTATTTTTTTATTTTTATTTATTTTTATTTTTATTTATTTATTTTTTTTTTGACAGACAGAGTGGACAGTGAGAGAGAGAGACAGAGAGAAAGGTCTTCCTTTGCCGTTGGTTCACCCTCCAATGGCCGCCGCGGCCGGCGCGCTGCGGCCGGCGCGCTGCGGCCGGCGCACCGCGCTGATCCGATGGCAGGAGCCAGGAGCCAGGTGCTTTTCCTGGTCTTCCATGGGGTACAGGGCCCAAGCACTTGGGCCATCCTCCACTGCACTCCCTGGCCACAGCAGAGAGCTGGCCTGGAAGAGGGGCAACCGGGACAGAATCCGGCGCCCCGACCGGGACTAGAACCCTGTGTGCCGGCGCTGCTAGGCGGAGGATTAGCCTAGTGAGCCGCGGCGCCGGCCAAGGGGCTCATTACTGAGACCAAGGGCACAAATGTCCCAAGCCCCCAAATTCCTTAGAACTGAAACTTTTGGGGAGAATAAGCATACCAGTTTGGTCACTGTTAGCACTTCAAGACCCAGCCCGTTTTGTTGGCCTTGTCAGATCACAAAACTGATTCTTAACGTGTCCGTAACAACCAGCACAGCTGACGGCAGATGTTCCTGTTGTCTTGGAACTGCAGGTTTGCTGCGTCTTCGTGGGAGTCTGTGGCCAATGAAGAGATGTGGCAAGCCAGGTGACTAGTTTGCTTGTTTGTGTTTGCAGTCTGATTTTAACAGGCCGGAGAAGGTAGACTGTGGCACTGCTCATACTGGGAGCAGAGGTGAGGGGTGACCATCAATGCAACATTCATGAGCAGTTGTTACGGGTGAATCATCATCCTCATCTATGATCAAATCACCTCATTTCCACCTCAAAAAGAGTTGTGAAGAGGTTACTGTTGCCTGCACTTGTTTGAAACTGGCCGGAAGTGCCAGGTTCCTTGTCTGCAGTGACGGGCTGCAGGCCTCCCATCACCCCCTCGCTGCTGGCCTTTCCTGCCCTGACCAGACGAGAGTGAGTCTCGGGCTGAGCTCAGGGGGGTGATTACTGCCCTGCCTCCATTTGTAACAGGCCACGTTTCCAACACTGACAGCAGTGCCCCGGCCCTGTCGTGGGCATGTGACTGTAACCCAGTTCCTCGGATGGGGCAGACAGACATGTGAAACAGAGCGGAAGGTTAGTGTGGTTGCGTCTACACTGTCCTCCTGTTCATAGAGCAGGGCCACGCTGTGCTGGGTGTAAGGTTTCACAGTGACACCCTGGCTTCTTTGGGTTGTTGTCATTATTTTAAAATAATTGAGATGGCTAGCATTAACACATTGTAACCTAAATATTAACATTGAGCCCTAAAAAGTACAGAGAGGGTCACTTTGTACCTTCAGTGAAAATGTGCCTGCGCCCCCTGAGTGCCGGGGACTGTGCGCCAAGCATTAAGCTGTGCTACAAAAGACTTACGTAAGTTTAAAGGGATTTTGAAGAAATTGTCAAGAAATACAACTGCAAAATAAGATTACAAAAAAATCAATACTTTTGGGCAATTGTGTTTTCAATAAAAAAAATGAGTTTTTTATTTATAGGTCTAGTTACAGGGACAAATATTTGCTTCAAAGAGCTGATCCAAGGTGTGTGAGAGTACTTCCAGGAGTTCACGGAAAATGGAATTAAATGATGCTTATCCTGGTGCAGGAAATTTTGAAAATTCAGGCACAGTTTGTTCAAAATATTCAATTTCCATGGAGTTTTCTTAGACCCCCCCCATGTGCTTGGCTTTCAATATCTTTTGCACCAGAATAAACCCCCCTTTCCAGTTCTGTCTTTGCATGGGCTTTTTGAGTCACCCTCGTACCGTGCATCTGTGCAGTTTTTGCTGTGATCAGACACGGGAGAGCTGGGAAGGAAGACGCGAGAGACGCAGCAGGCCGTTACTGGGGCGGGCATGGATGGACAGCCGGGACAAGCGCGTGCGGTCAGAGAGCCTGGCCCCTGTAAGAACTGGCCACACGTGACACGAGCCACCGTGGTGGGCGCCTTCAGGGCTGTGCTGAGAAACCCCGCCAGTCTCCCCTCCCTGGCTACTCCCGCATCACAGCAGCGTGCTTGGGGAGGAAGACTGGCCTAGGAGAGTGCTGGAAACGCAGGCTCTTCTCCGGGTGCCACTCAGTCAGTGTGACTGCAGGGTCTCGCTGAGGGCGGCAGGTGGCCTTGCTGTTGGTTCAGAGTGAACATGTGTGGATCCGAGAGCCTTCGAGGTAGTGCAGTGCAGGGCTTTGAACGGTGCAGGCCCATGGGGGCGCCTGGGAGAGGTAGCCCTGCATGTGCATTTGTGGTTCCGATGTCAGTGACGGCTCCCCGCCCCCTTCCCCTCCCCAGGATGAAAACGCCGTTCTTCATCTTCGACCTGGCCGAAAGTGCTAACCTGCCTGCAGACGTGAAAGCCCGACTCTACACTCACGCATACAACGTACGCAGACTGACGCGGGAGATAGGTTTGGGGGAGAGCGCGCCTGTCAGTCACACAATCATTAGAGCTCTTGCTCTTGCGTCTCCCGCTTACCTGGGCCATTATGAAGCAGCCTCAGAGGCAAGCGCTCAGCAGTATCACGGTGTCTGAAGGGCACGACCGTGGTCCCCTCCCAAAGATGCCTGTGTCCTAATCCCCAGAACCCAGGGGCGTGCTGCCTGGCATGGCCAGGGCGCTGCGCAGACGTCATCAAGTGACAGCTCTGGGGATGGGCGAGGTCCTGGGTCATCCAGAGGGACACAGCGCAATCACGAGGTTTCTTGTAAGGGAGGCAGAGGCAGGGAAGGGACTGAAGACACCGCACTGCTGGCCCTCAGGACGGGGGAAGGGGCCAGGAGCTAAGGAGTGCAGGCGGAAGCCCATTCTCCCTGGGGCCAATCTGGGGGCTCTCGCCAGCCGAGGTGCAGGAGAATGCCTTGTGTTCGAGGGCACTGTGTCTCTGGTGGTTTCCGGCAGTGCAGCAGCAGCAGGACACGAATAGCTCACCTGCTGTGCAAAAGCCGGTCCTGGTCCCGGGCTGGGGCTGGGAGAGAGTCCCTGAGTAAAGACAGAGGGTCGCAGAGAGTGACCGTGGCCCCTGGGAGCCGAATGGACCTGCAGGAGACGAGGCCCGCGGGAGCACAAACGTAAGCAAGCTCTGGCTGCCCACGCTTGCGGCGCCGCAGAGCTCGTCTCGGAGTCAGCTCTCTGGGAAACAGCCCAGGCCTCGGCATCTCTGGATCTGCGCAGCCAGGGCCTTGGGGGCCCAGTGGATTCAAATAGCTTGGTGCCCAGGCCGTCTGACCAGCGGCCCACGGTTCAGATATGCATTCACAGAGCGTTCCTCAGGCACCTAGTCCTTTCCAAGTCTGCACTGGGGGCCGTCAGGCCTCGCCCTGTTCCTGAAAGGTGTCAGGCTAGCGAGGTTAAGTCCCCCTCCCAGGCCAGTCTCGGAAGTGCCTGAGAGGCCTGAAGAGGTGCTGCGGGTCAGAGAGCTGGACAAGGGCAAGCTATGGGGGAAGGGGTGCGGGGCAGTGGGCGATGCACTGGGGCTCCTCTCGAACAGAAGGAGCTGGCCAGAGCCATGGGGCAGGGGCAGCGACGGGGGCAGGGAGCCCACCAGGAGGAAGCCACAGGCACTAGGGCAGAGCCCAGCGAGGTGACCCTCTCAGGGAGGCAGCACCCTGGCTGGCTGGCAGGAGGCCCTGGGCCACGCCCACTCTGCCATTCCTTGTAAACGCCCAGCCACCTCACCTTTCCAGCTCTTGACTTTTTTTCCTTCAAAATGTGGACTGTGACCTTCCCACAGTTCTCACGGCCCGCTCCCATCAGATCCGTCCATCTCTAATACCCTATGGTTCTATGGAAAGTAGGCGGGACTTCCTGGGGAGAAGCCTGAGGCTTAACAATGACTCCAGCTTCTCATCAGTGACCCCACCCATGGTCAGTCTTCCCTACTGAAGCCAGCTCATGGCTTGTGTCCCTGGGGGCCAGCAGGCTGCCTTCACATACATCCTCGGGAGTGGGACAGTGTTTATGGGAGAAGTGAGGCCAGTTACCTGGCGGGTCAACATGAATCCGCCTCCAGCACTGGTTCTGCAGGAAAGTTTTTGTTAGGCAGAGAGGGTGGTTTTGTAACTGCCCACGATACCCTGCTTTGTAGTTTATACGGAACGTTCAGTTCAGGTGTGGTGGGGGAACAGGGAGGAGCCAGGTCCATAGGAATGAGTTGCATAAATCGGCGGTCTCCCCTAATCCACAGAAGACAGCCCACTGAGACTAATGTCCTAGTCACACACAGGAGGAGCCGTGACTGCACACAATGAGCGAAGGGACTGGCGGCTTCGGTTTCGGCACATGCAGGAGGCCGTCCCAAGCGGTTGAGACAAGGGAGGTGTGCTGGTCCCGCATGGCTGGGGGGCTAGGGGAGTCTGAGCGAGCCGTGGGGAGCGCCCCTCACAGTGCCCAGGCCCCTCTTCTGAAAGCCCAGCGGTTCCTAGAGCCCACTCTGCGCTGGGCGGCCTGTCCTGCACGTCCCTCACTCCTCCGTGGAGGAAGGCTTGGGATGAGCAGCTGATAGAGAAAGGAGCAGAGAGCAGCAGGGTGGAGACGCTTGGAGTGCTTCACACCAGACGAGTAAGCGGCTAGCAGGCCGGCTGAGGGGCGTCGCCGGGCCGTGTGGGCACTGTCTCCTAGGTTAGAAGAAGAAAGGAAGGCTGCTCAAGACTGGGGGTTCTCCTACACCGAAGCCACCACGCAGGGACTGTGGAACTTCCCACAGGCGCGCTGCTTTAAAACAGTCCCACGTGTGTCTGCTGTGGAGCTGGAGTTGCGGACCTAGGAGCCTGGGTCCCTGCGGGCAACACCACGTTGTCAGTGCCAGGCTCACTCGGCATCACCAGCTCCCGGAGCAGTCCGCTTCCTGCTGCGTGCCCCAGGAGCCTGCCAGGAAGCCCTGGGCACCAGCCCCACCTCGGCCATCTCTGAGAAGGCAGTGGAAAGGCCAGATAAGCGAGTGTGCTGTCCCACTCTGCGGATTCACTCCTGCCACTCTGTCCGTTCACATTTTGATATGCTTCCTCTGGAAAATTAAGTATCCAAAATTCTAGCTCTATCCAATTAATGCCATCTCTGGATGTTGAGAAACAAAATCCTGCTTCCCGTGGGCACCGCTGTAACTGTCAGGATTGTAAATTGCAGGCTACTGGGAGGATTTTTTTTTTTTTTGAGATTGATTTATTTATTTGAAAGTCAGTTACACAGAGAGAGGAGAGGCAGAGAGAGAGAGAGAGAGAGAGAGAGACAGGTCTTCCATCCAATGGTTCACTTCCCAGTTGGCCGCAACGGCCAGAGCTGCACTGATCCGGAGCCAGGAGCCTCTTCTGGGTCTCCCACGCGGGTACAGGGGCCCAAGGACTTGGGCCATCTTCCACTGCTTTCCCAGGCCATAGCAGAGAGCTGGATCAGAAGAGGATCAGCCAGGACTATAACCGGTGCCCATATGGGATGCTGGCGCTTCAGGCCAAGGCATTAACTCACTGTGCCACGGCGCTGGCCCCCAGGAGGATTTTAAATACCCCTCTTCCAGCGTGTCTCCAAAATGCCAGTACGCCCGACCTACGGGACCATTGTCATTGGTGATGTTTTTAACGCACAGTGGAACTTAGGTAAATAAGGTGGGGGCAACATGTCCGTTCCTTCAAGTTCTTTTTCCACGCAGTCTCCCAAAGAAAACTGTTTCCCCTCCAGCAGCTGAGTTTAGAGTTCAGCCCCCTGCCTGTGGAGTAATAGGTTTCCGGGAAGGAGACCCGAATCCCTCTCCCAGCTCCTCTTGGGGGAGAGCACCTCGTCCTGCGCAGCGTGTCCCGAGGCCCCCTCGCCAGCGCAGGCCGCGGAAGCGGTTTGCGGGGAAGCTGCTTGCCTCCTGCCACTGGCCTAGGTACGGCGACGGCCCCGCATGTCTGCATGGCCTGCCTGGCAACGCTGAGGTTTCTACTGTAGGCTTCTCTGTGTTGTTTTTTTCTTCTTCTTTTTTTCTCTTGTGTTATTAGTTCCTCTGTGTTTTCTGGTTTTCTATTAAAAAAAGGGCTAACGCCGGCACACCGACGTCTGTGCTGTCTTGCAGCTGTACAAGGAGCTCGTGTACTCACAGAAGGCACACCCAGTGAACTGGCACAAGAACTACGCCCTCGCCTGCGAGCGCCGGCTGCGCCTGGCGGGGCGGGACGCAGACCCCGAAGCTCTGCTGTCTGAAACCATCAGGCACTTCCACCTGTACGCCCAGAAAGCGCGGGATGACCCGCAGCGAGCCGACATTTTAGGTGCTCTGAAGCACCTACGCAAAGAACTGCGAAGTCTGAGAAATAGGAAAACTGCCTGAGACAGCAGAATTATGAAAATCCTGGCCAGCGCTCAGCATCCGGAATTCTGGAGTCCGGAACTCTCCTGCCAAGCTGAGAAACTGTACATCAGAAAATCAAACACCGAGTCGTCCCCCAGACCAAATAACGTGGTACAGGCAGTGCTGTTTATCGGGGGTGTCTCATGACAGATGTACTGTGTATGCAAAATTCTGGTTACCCCACCTTACCAAGTGAGCATTTCAGTAGAAGCTTCCGGAAAATCTTCCTGCTTCCACAGTCCTTCCTTCACCCAGTGACGGTGCTTGTGAGATTCGGGAAAGGAACAAATGCTCGGCGTCCGCCCAAGATCCCACCTGTGCCTCCTGTCACGGCCTTGCTCATTGGTGGTGGTTTTAGAGGAGAAATTCTGAAAGCTGCGAGTGCAAGACCAAAGACATGTTTGGATTCCTGAAAGTGAAATAATTTTTTTTGAGAGAATGAATGTTATGCTTCCAGTTGGAGTACGTTGTTTTAAAAGTAACTGTGGTTGTCACATTATCTCACACCTGAAGCTAAGTACCAAGTGGATGATATTTTGGGAAAAAAAAATAGTTGGGGTTTTATTGTCTTAGCTAGTTCTCTGAAGTCACTGGAAAGAAAAGCTAATTTGCTGTTTGCTGATTTTACTTGCAGAAGCTGATTGGCGAGTAAAAAGATTTTGTATTTAATTCATTTTATATTTATGTTTCACTTCTGTCTGGACTATAGATGTAGGCCTAATAATTAGTAGGCTCCTGCTAGCAAAAATGGGGAAAAAAAAAAGGTGGGGGGGGGGAGGCAGGGATTGGGGGGAATGGGGACATGGTTCAATAAATTCATTTCTGTTACAAACATCTTTTATACATATGACTGAAGAGAACACGGTAAGAAATGCAAATCATAGTTCTTTATTTTATTATGACAGTTAATTAATAGCAACCTGTTTTAATGAATAAAGTCACTCAGAGCCCTTCAGCACTTCCTAAGTAGAGGCCAGAACCGGTGGGGATTCTGTCCCACCCAATTGTGAGGCTCCTAGACTCTAAGCACTGTAGAGGCCCTGTATAGAAATGCTCACTAATGAAGGGGGAGGGCTAGGAGCTTGTCTGCCTTCCGCAAGAAAAGGCCCCTTACCAGGAGCAGTCACAGTTCCGTGGCATTGTGCTAGCAAAAGGGGCTGATCAAAGGTCTCCCGTGGAGCTTGCATGGTTCCCTTTCATACCACGACCATAATTAAAACCACTAATTCTCTTTTAAAATGCTGCAGGATGCCATGTAGGCATCTGTCTGGAGTGTCCTTTGTGATGTCATAAGCTGTTAAGGACCAGTGCCGAGGGCTTTGAGCGAAATGCCAGTCATGAAGGTGCTTCCAGACAAGGGTGCCTCGAGAAGCCTGACAGGGCCTTGACTGCACAATTCGGGCTGAATTTGCCCCTTGTCAGCTGCCAGTAAATAAATCTCAAAGGGGGAAAAGCTGAAGTTTCATTACCTGATCCGGGGGGCTTTGTTGGTTTTGGCATCACACAGGGGAAGCTCTTGCCCCTCCATTCTCTGGATTTGAAGATGTCCATTGGAGCCTGCAGCGCCTGGACAGGGTTCAGAGCGGAACCTTTTGAAGAGTGTCAATAGTGGTAACAGTTCAGCTGTTAGGAAGACAAATAGATGGAGGAGCTCATTAATCCGCTTTTGGCTCTCGGTGCCTTTTGCCCTTTTATCACAGCCTTATTAGGCTTCTACTCATCTTGAACCAGAAAAAAATGAATTGAAGTTGTTGAGGACTAATTGGCAAAGACTTTTAATCATGGGCCAAGAACTTTCACTGACTTGAAAGTAACTTCTCCACAGGGAAGAGCCGAAAACCTGGTTTACCTTAAAACAAAAACCTGTTGGAGTCCAGCGCGGTGTAAAAATTTAAGGAAGCATTGATAAATTGTCTAAGTTTATCCATTTGCAAGAAAGCGTGGTAAGATGATGACTGCATTTTTCTACGAAAACCACAGTAAAATCTAAACATTGCTTCAAAGTGCATCACTTCCTTGGTTCAGAAAAGAGGTGGTGTGCTTACAAGAGACGGTCATGTGTGTCGTCGCTGAACGTCCACTCGGTGGTTGAGGAACCTTTTTAACTTCCTAATTTCCTATGTAGTCTTAATAATGACAACAAACGAAGGCGCCTCGTTCAGAATCTCTGCCCTTTAATTTCGTGTCTGATCCACGGAGCTGCACACCTGTCTGAATATGTTCTCTACACTGATTATTGTCAAGTGATAGGTAGATTACCCCGTGTTTGTGCAACAAAGACTTTGGGTCCCCCTCTCTTTGAGAAAGCAATAATATGATGGCCCAGAGTAGATGCGGTCATCATCATGTAAATTTAGAAAAGTCGGTAAATGAAAAATAAAATAAATGTAAGTGGTGCTGAGATGGAGGCACGCTGGGCTTCATTCCCAGGGCAGCCCCACTACAGAATCCTTTCCTTTCTGTGTGTGAGGTTGAGCAAGCTGCTCGCTTGTCCTTTCTCCCTCTCCTTGGCACAAACACCGTCAGATCTCACAAGAGGGGTTCCTTTCGTCTCACCTCCCGACGTGGAAGAGGTGAGGTCTCCTGCAGGATTTGGCCGGCATTCTCCTTGCAGGGTCCCTGGAGTCCCACGGGTTGGCAGGATGACAGGAACCCCACTAGGCGAACTTCTGCCGGGACTTTGGCCTGAGGAGCAAGTGGAAGCCAGCAGAACTGTCTGCCTCTCCACACGCTGCTGTGTCCCGCTGCCCTGGCAGGAGGGCGAGGGGAGAGCGGGCGGCGGCTCGCGTCACCTGACAAACGCGGGCGCATGTCCCTTCCCTCCGATGGGACTGTGCGTGGGTCTCCAAGTTGACTTCCTCTTTCTCCGCCCCTCCCTCTCCCTCGCCCCTCTCCCCTCTCCCCTCCTTCTCCCCCCTCTCCCTCTCCCCTCCCTCCCTCCCTCTCTCCCTCCTTCTGTCTCTCTCCCTCCCTCCCTCTCTTTCCTTCCATCCTTTTTTAAGTTTTGCTGTGTTACTCAAATGCAGCCAAAATAGAACCAATTTCTACTGTACTATTCTGAGAACTTCCAATAGAAATTGTGGAACTTTTTTCCTGCCTGTATTCTTAGTGTTTTCTGATGATAGAACCATGAAATTTAACCTTTGTGGTATTTAAATAAAGCCCATTTTGAGTGCTAGGGTTATTTTTTGATCCCCCGCTAATATCCTTTAAGTCATCAAGCTAGGCTATGAAGAGTTGCTTTTTCTAAATTTATATTTTAAAAGTTAAACATTGGGAGTCCTTAATCACAGTTTCCATCAATATCCCTCAGAATTCAAAATGTTAATGCTTAATGGAAGAAAATTTTAATACCAAAGGTTGGGGGAAAATTTAATCTTGCTACAGCAAATCCTTCTGCTCTGCTTGTTTCTGCTGTATTTTACCAGTGCCCCCCAGCATAGGATGTTACTTAACATTTGTTCTTCTAACTGGCTGCAAGTCCTACGTATGGTTAAGTGAAGAAGACGGCAGCAGCCCAGAAAGAAATTCACACGATTTTGGTCATTCTCACATTTCGTTGTGGATGCAAAGCCATTCTAATGCTTGCACTCACAAACAAATCAGTGACGCTTTCAGGGATTCTGGGACCATCTAAAGGCCAAGGGCTTGGCACAGCATTAGAGAGCAAACAAGGAGCGAAAGCTTTCGCAGCGATCATATCCAATGAAGACGTCATCGTCAGGCCCCTCCGAAGGTCTGTTTGATTTGGATCACGGTGCATAGTATTTTTTTTAAAGCCCCAGGAATAGTGCCGTGTGCTTACCTGGAAATGGGAACATCTCTTGCAAAAGGATTTTAGCAGGAAAGGAAGTCTGATTGCTCTTCACCAATGTGCCACGTATGTTTGGTGGAAATTGTGCTGGACTGATTAGCTCAAATCATCCTGGAGAGGAGAAGGCGGTAATGATGGCGGGAAGGAAAGGTAGAAGTTCCAAAATTGTAAGTGTGAGATCAGCAGTTATGCACCCAGCAGTGGGGCTCTTTGGTTCCCACAAATCCAAAGTGTTGTGGGCGAGGGTTAATGTACAGTAATGTGTATATGGTGGTGACACTAGAAAAGTTGATTAGGTTGAGAACGTTTTGAGGTAAAGGTCAAGAACACAAAGGCAGATAATTGGGTCATCCTGTCCCTGTAATCCACAGAGCAACCAAGATGTCCTGAATCTTTTTGTAGAGAATTGCCAGTAGAAGAGGAGAATGATGTCAAATTAAGGTGAAATAAGAGATAACTGGAAATAAGCCAGAGCTAAGATTTAACCTTTTCATGGACCTTTGCCTTAAATGCTTAGAATCTGTTAGAATTCTAAGTAGTATCAGGGGAATATAAAAGAACCAGTGCATGGAAATAGAGTACAGTCTTTGTCTTGGTAAATTCATTACGCAGTATATATTACAGTAAATGGAGATTGTCCTTTTTTTTTTTTTTAAGATTATTTGCCTGAAATGTAGAGTGACAGAGAAAGAGGGAGAGGAGAGGGAGAGACAGACAGATCTTCCATCCATTGGTTCACTCCCCAGATGCTACAACAGCTGGGGCTAGCCCAGGCCAAAGCCAGGAGCCAGGAACTCTGTGTGGATCTCCCAAGTGGGTGGCAGGAGCCCAAACACCTCAGCCATCATCTGCTGCCTCCCAGAGTGCACGTACGCAGGCAGCTGGATTGGAAGCAGAGGCAGCCTCAATCCTGGGGGCTCTAGTCTGGGGTGTGGGGATCCCGGGAGGCAACTTAGCCTGCTATACCACACACACCCCTTTTTAAAAAAATCAGTCATCTGTGTAAAGGGATTTTCCTCCGCTAAATGAAATATTCTCTTCCACGTTTGAGCCTTCAATACCTGTGGTCATTACTCCTATGCAAACGTGTGTATGACTAAAATCAAAAGGGGGACAATGCTTGGGAAATTAGACCCAGTGCCCTGCTCCCTGGTTGAGTCTCCCATTCGCCGGACCCTCAAGTGTCATTTGAGACATAGAATTCCCTGTGATAGCCCTGGCATGCTGAGACTTGGATCAAGAAACTGCAGTAGTGGACCTGTCGGAGGGTTTTTTTGAAGAGAAGATAAAAGATTCAAGGCCTAGAATCTTCTTACAGTGTCTTCCCTCATAATCGGTTTTAAAAATGGAAGGGAAACATTACAGAATCATTTTGTTAATAACTGCTTTTAAAAGTTAATGTAGAAAATCAAGGGCTTTATTTTTTTAAATAAGCAGATGATGATTTGGTTCTTCAGAAAACCGGATTCCTTTGATTGAAAATTAAACACCAGCCTAGCTGGTGAGAGAAAAACCAAAACAGGTGCGTGAGTTCACGGAGGTCGAGCACGTGTACTTTGTGGCGGTCTTTATGTAGTATGTCCTGAGTTTTCACCAAAGTAGTGAAAATCCGCCAGTGTGTGGTCCGGTACCTACGTAGTTCTGACCATCAGCCGTTAACCTCTGCGTTCACCTGTGTCTGCCTGGGGGCAGCTCCTTGCAGTGCAGGACTGTGCTGTGTGGTGAGAACTGACCAGCTGCTTCTTGATGAAATGGGATTTGTAGGGGCCGGCTCCGTGGCTCACTTGGTTAATCCTCTCTCTGTGGCGCTGACATCTCATATGGCGCCAGGTTCTAGTCCCGGCTGCTCTTCTTCCAGTCCAGCTCTCTGCTGTGCCCCAGGAAGACGGTGGAGGATGGCCCAAGTGCTTGGGCCCTGCACCCGCATGGGAGACCAGGAAGAAACACCTGACTCCTGGCTTTGGATCGGCATAGCTCCAGCCTTAGCGGTCATTTGGGGGGTGAACCAACAGAAGGAGGACCTTTCTCTCTCTCTCTCTCGCTGTCTAACTCTATCAAATAAATTAATTAAAAAAAAAAAACTGCTTCTCACTGTGGGTCATTGTAAAAAGTAAACTTGAAAGCCACTGGGTAGGAGAACCTAATGCCAAAAGGGTTATTAAGACATCATCTAGTCTCACTGTCTAACTCTGCCTGTCCAAAAAAAAAAAAAAAAACAAAACATCATCTAGTAAAACTACCACACAAGTAACCTAGTTTAATAAATGGAGAAACTGAAGCCTATACGAAGTAAGTGACTTGATTAATGGCAGAACTGAAACATGAACGTGGACTTGAACTTGGCTCAATGTGGTCTACTTCCCTCACTTCCACCACGGTCAAGTGAGATCAGCGCTTTGTTTTTCTGCCATCGCAGCAAGGGCGTAGTAAAGGCCTCAGGTAGGGCAGCCATATTGAAATCCTGGAAAGATTGCCAGAAGTAGACGGTGTGTGAATTCAAGAACTGTGTCACAGGAAATGGATTAACAGGCATACACTGCACTTCTTCTCCCTTCTCCAACCTGTAATTTTTTCTACTCTTTTTTTCCTTTTAAACAGAACCAGTTGCATCCCTGGCTTTCAACTGAGATTTTTTTTCCCTACCAATTCTGGATTTAGGAATATTTACCCAAATTAAAGGATTTTAGTGCGATAAGAAAAAAGTCACTTTGAAATCCAGGATCTTATTAGCATAAATTACATTCCCGCTGAATCAGCGGCTGGAAGCTTCATTTGAAAAATGTTGCACTCATTTATGAATTTCTTCGCCCTCCCAGGCGGAGTTCAAAACAGGCACCGTCGCATTTCTGTGTTTCAGAGAAGGAAATGCATGCCCGCTGCACAGGAAGGTGCGTGGCGTTGGGAACTGGCCTCTGCTTCATAGGAGCCGGGACCCCAGAGCCAGTGTTCGTGGCCATTGTGTTGGGTTCGGCCACTCCATTTAAAACGTGCAGTGTTGGAAGGCAGAGACCTCTTTGAGGACCCGAGTGTCTGGTTTCCTAGTTATGACCCTGACCTGTTCAGGGTGCAGATGATAACTTCTCCCAGTGCAGCTCGTGAGCCCTAGATGGGATCTATAAAAGTATGGACTAATAATAGTATCAACTATTCTTATAGCAACTAATCTTGGTGACATTTGTCGTCTACCACATTGGCTCCAGTGATATGAAATCACCTGAATTTCCTTCCTTTACTCAGAATTGGCGATCACTTAGCCCTTCATCTTAAATCTGGTGCTCACGGTGGGCATTGGACGCAGCGGTGAAGGTACTGCCTGGGGCATTTGCATTCCCATATCCGAGTGCCGGGGTTCCAGCCCCAGTTCTACCTCCAGTCCAGCTTCCTGCTAATGAACGCCCTGGGAGGCAGCAGGTGATGGCTCAACTCCTTTTGCTTCCTGGCATCCAAGTGGGAGACCAGGATGGAGTTCCGGGGTCCTGGCTTTGGTCTGGCCTGTCGTTGGCTCTTGTGCTCATTTGGGGAGTGACCCAGCGGATGTCACATCTTTCTCTGTCTATCTTTCTGAATCCCTGTCTCTGTGCTTTTCGAATGAAATGAATATAAATTTTTAAATAAAAAAATAAACTTGGCGCCTCTTATTAAACAAAGACCTCTTCTGGTATAACCACACAAACCATTCTGCACACTCCGCGTGCATTTGATAAAGGTATAAAGGTAACTTACTCCACAAGGTTAGCCATTAAAGATGCTATTTCTCCTCTTTGATTCATCCCCTCATGAGCGAAATAGTTGATCTAGAGAGCATAAGCTTGTTGAATACATGAGCTAATTTGTACCAAGTAAATGTGTAAAACTACACAGGAATCAAACAAAACCAGAATTTTGTTTTAAAGCAATTGTGATAAGATGGAGAGTCTGTTTTCCTTTTCCATTGTGGTGCACCTGCATTAAGTAAACACCTTAGCAAGCACCCCTCTCTCATCCCCTACAGCACCCAGGGCCACGCGCTGTGTCCTGCAGGAAGTCATTGTGACCTCCTGGGGAAGGGACAACACTGGCTGATGTTGCCAGCATGAAGAAGCACAGGTAGGAATGTGGGCCCAGTGAGTTCATCTAAAAGAGCAAACGGCAGAAACCCAGTCCTGCCCAACTCTCCCCACACCCTCAGAAAGCCCAGCTTCCTCTGGATGGCACTGGAAGCCCTGAATGGTATGTGTTAGAGTGGCTTTTGAAATGTGTGTACGTCTTAATTCCACTTTCTCTTTTCTTTTAAGATGTTTATTTGAAAATCAGAGTTACAGACAGAGGGATAGAGAGAGAGGTCTTTCATCTGCTGGTTCACTCCGCAGATGCCACAAATGGCAGGACTGGGCCAAGGTGAAGCCAGGAGCCAAGAGCTTCCTCCAGGTCTCCCAGGGGGATGCAGGGGCCCAAACACTTGAACCATCTTCCAGTACTTTCCCAGGCCATTAGCAGGGAGCTGGATCAGAAGAGGAGCAGCTTGGACATGAGTTGGCACCCATATGCTTAACCCACTAGGCCACAATGCTGGCTCCCTTAATCCCGTTTTCTGTAGAATGGGGATATATCGTGGTGGGACCAGCAGGATGAAAGGGAGTGATATAAAATTCACTGAACAGCTCTTGGTACACACCAGGCCCTTCATCTTGGCTGTCTTCATTAATACACCAACAAGAACAGTTATTACCTTAGACACCTTCCTAAATATATCATCAAAGCCTCCTCATGTTTTGTTTCTCTCTGGCGTGTAAAAAAGTCCTCTTAAATATACATCTGGAAAAATTTAAACAATTCTATTTAAATTGCAAGGAGTGTTATAAATAGTGTGTCAAATGATATGGATAACGTTTGGTCATCACCAGGGGGCAACCAAAAAAGCACTGAGTAGATGAGGAAATGAAGTCAGTCCCATCAGTAAGGAGAACGCATCTCAGGCTGCAAGAACCCACCCACCCACACACACACACACACACACACACACGTGAGTGAAGACCACGTGTGCACATCCCATTCCATGCAGCCCCATTACCATGACCCTCCTCCCTACTTCCCACTGGCCCCCTACAAGCACGGCCCGTGCAGAAGGAGGCTTCCCTGTTATTACTCTTCTCACACTGTGTGTCTTCACATTTGACACCCGCCCCCACCATTCATAGATTCTGTTCAGGGGACCTCCCCAAAGGACAGTCTCCTCCCAACACAGCTTGTCCAGGCACTAAGCCACCTGATAGGAAGGGAGGGCCACGCTGCTGGGCCTCCCAAGGCACCCCGGGAACCAGAGTCATGGATTTCCAAGTGGAGACAGCGCAGTGCCCCGGAGTGCATTCTGGGAATGAGCACGCCAGTCATTCAAGCTTCATTTAATCAGCATTTCTTGAGCTCCCGCACTGTTCCAGGCCTAGATTTTCAAAGGAGAAACAGACAGACAGCGATTCTGTCCCCTCCTCAGCCTCCACTCTAGAGAGAGAGAGAGAAAGTCCAATAGGTAAGTCTGAAAATCTGCCCAAGGGTCCATGTCCACCACATCTTTCCCAACTGGGGAGATCAACCCTGCCCTCTCCATTGCTAGGAATGCTGTTCCCACACAGTATTCTGCTTCTCCCATTGCACCCCAAGTAACACAGAAAAGATGTGAGAGAAGCTGTCTCCTGGCCTCAGCCTGCACCAACTCTCCCAGACGCCACCATGCAAGCTCTCAGAGAGCCTTGACACACTTACTTTGGTGCAGGAAAACAGACTTCGCTTCCAAAAGCAACGAGAAGGAATCATTGCTTCTGTAGCATTCTTGCAAAAGACTGTATGATCCTGGCCTAACCCTGAGAAAACATCTCACAAACCCAACCTGACAGAACAGTCTACCAAATCCCTGGCTGCTACTCTCCAAACGGGTCAGGTGTGTGCAAGACAAGGAGGGACTGAGAGAGGGTCACAGACTTGAGGGGACAAGACCCCCACGTGCAATGCAGACTCCTGGGTGGAATCCTGGAACAGTAAAGACAGCTGAACTTGGGTGTAGTCCAAATTCAAGTCCACAGAGTAGCAGAAAGCATTGCACTAATGGTAGTCCCGTGGCTTCTTTCGTTGGTGTTACAGTTATGGAAGGTGTTAAGTTAGGTGGAGTTGCAAAAGAGTACACAGGAACTTTCTGAACTATTTGTGTGACCTTTCTATCGATCTCAACTTATTCCAAAACAAAATGATCTTTTAAAAAATGTTGAAAGCCAAGCACTCCGTTTCCCCCTTGCTTCTTGTCATTCTTTGTTGGCTGCTTTTCCAGACAATAGATGAGACAGTGGTCTTCATCACTTGGTGCACCAATGATCAAAGAGAGCAGATTCCTAAGGCCAAAGGCCACAGGCCTGCCACCAGCCTGGCCACTGGGGTAGGTGGCTGCCTTGGCCCCAGCTCTGAGCCCCATCCCCGTGGTTATGCAGGGGGACCTGGGTGAGGAGTGGGCACCTCCAGGGGAACCGAAGCTCTGTTTCTAGCCCCGTGGGAGGCTCGGGAGGGGCGGAATTACAGTCCCCTCAAAGGTACTGGGCTCATGCCCGGCTTGAAGACGGCAGAGCCCAGCCTTGTGGTCACACCATCCCTCCAGTCCTGCCTTCTGGCTTCAGGAGCCGCTGTGGGAGAAGAGAGAGTGCAGGGGGAGCACCCTTAGCACCCTAACTCTTTCAAATGGTGAGTCAGGTTTTTGTAGCCTTATTAGCATTTGCAAATAAAAATACATTTTAAGTGGCATTAGGCTAAGTAATTATTCTTCCACGATGTGAAATTAAACACACTTTACTCAGCGTGAAATTATTCCTGCCACGCACTGACTTGGGTGACGGCTTGAGAGTTTGGACAGGGGGTTGCAAGAAGGGGAGAAGCCATCTGAGTATTAAAAAAGAAAAAAAAAAGCCATCCCCAAATATTCCACCAAAGGTAAGTCCTTGTAGCTAAATGATTTTGGCTGGATGGAATATTAAACCTGCTACTATAAATTTCACGCCTTGCATTCCTAAAGCAGATGCAGCGTAATGATGCCAAAAATTAATTGGAAATAATGCTCCTTGCCTTGTGTACTCTATCCAGTAGAGGGCACAGCAGATAAGCCTTGTGTGCGCTGGTGACTCGGCAGCCCCCATCAGGCGTGTTTGTAATTGCTTCTGTAAAGATATGTGGCAGCATGCATGGGTGCGTATTTACATTTTGAAA